CACATGTACTTGAGACAGTGATCACGTACGTTGGTACCATCAAAGAAGCAACGTCGAGGTTAGACGAACGATGATAGATAAATATGGCGAGTTAGTTGATGTGTTACACAATCATAAACGACTTAGTGTAGAAATGTGAGTCCTGCTTCGGTTTGGGCACCCGAGCAGTATCACAGTCCTCACACATATCAAATGAGATTTGTTTGACGCATATGTATTTGGTGCCTGCTTGTACTAATATCTATGTGTTCAAATAATAATAATAATAATAATAGTGTAGGAGTAAGTTTTTGAGAAAACCACGAGTCAAAGCGAAATGCGGCATCGGTCTATGAGTTTATAGACACCTCGAGTGGACTGTATGGGTGGGTGGTTAAGCCGGTTGGTATTAGCGCGGTGATCACGAATAATGTTTGGAGATGTTGAGTGACATGTGTAAGCATCGGTGCACTTGGGCTTTGTTTATACTTTACGTTGCTTATGATGTACTGGATAGCTTTGCCACACGCAATAAGAGGGGACGTATGATTCATTACTTAAAACCAACATATATTCCTTATTTTCCAAGGGTTATTTAGCTAAGTTGTTGAAAAGTAAGTAGTCTATTTCCCCTCTGCTGATTTGGCGAGACTCTAATTTAGGGACGAACCTTGAACGAATCTTAAATGACCTTGAGAATTATTAGCCAATCAGGAGACAGTATAAAGTAAAAATATATTATAAGAAAGTAATCTGTTACAGTGGATATTCTTCTTTTACATGATTTAAAAACTTGTTAAGGTTTGATAAAGTTTCAGAGTTTCTGAATTCATAGTGCATACGGTATAGAAACCCGTCCATAGGGTTAGGGTGGCGAGATTCCAATTTAGGGACGAGCCAAAAAGAAGCGTTTGAGCAGTTTCAATGTCACGGAGCCAAGTTCAACACGTGATGCTAAAATACGATCGGTTTATAGCGGATTTTAGAGCAGAGGTGTTTTTTGAGAGGCTACAACCCTAACCCTATCGACGCATTTCTATACCGTATGCATTATGAATTCAGAAACTCTGAACCTTTATCAAACCTTAACAAGTTTTTAAATCATGTAAAAGAAGAATATCCACTGTAATTCATTGCTTTCTTATAATATATTTTTACTTTATACTGTCTTCTGATTGGCAAGTAATTGAAATTGCTCAAACGCTTCTGATTGGCTCATCCCTAAATTAGAGCTTCCCCGGCAATAAACTTGAAGTGTAGTGTAAAACAAAGCTTAAACAAATCAATTCTATAATTTTCCATCGAATATGTTTTCAGTGGATAAATTTAATTTGACGTCCCATTAGAACCAGACTCATTTGCAGTAAATGACTCATTGTAATAAACGGAAAGCTTTGTAATACTTAAAAAACAAATATCAGTATACAGAGGCAAAATACCTTGATAAACAGTGGCAATCATGCCATTGGTGATAACTTAGTCTAATTATTTACAATGGACGGCAATGAAATATTCCATTGCTTTTAGTGATCGTATACTGGATAAAAAGAACACCTAATACTGACCCCTGTCAAATCTAGACCAATAAAAGTCTACTACAGTTAAAGATCACAAACGAAATGAAGTGAATGAATTACGATATGTACTCCACGAATAAGATTAAGATCGCATCACTTAAAACACTACAGACGGTCTTCGTTAGTCAGCTTTAAACTGATCAGAAAAATCAACTTTGTTGTTGTAGAGACACAATGTACCATTAAACATGTTAATGATAATTTAGCTTGAAAATAAGACGAGTTGACCATCTTATCAAATTTCGGGATATAAAATTAAGTAAATGGGACATTTCCGGAACTTGCAAATTACATAGGTCCATCAAGATTGCTACTGGAGTAACAGCTATAAACGATGTCACTAAGATGTACTGAGTAACTTGAATTAAGATGAAAATAAATGCTGCAGGTAATTTCCGACTAAATAGCCAACGTAACTACATTTATTTGCAAACCTGACTAGTGAACAAACCCATCGTTAAGAAATTCGCTGGCCAACCGGCAATCATTCTAGCCAAGAGTGTTAGAATTTAGGTGTATATTCTAATTATGTTGAAATTTGCCACTGTGACGTAATACCGAGTGAAATTTATAAAAAATGACTTCGTCTTCTGATTATGGACTCCAATGAAAAACAGCGAAGTGTGCATCAGGTGAACATTCTTGGGGAAAACTAGTTGCGAAGTAGTTCAAAACGAAACACGAACGAACCTTGCATGTCTACACGACATTTACGTGAACAGCACAAGGTCTACCCAGAACCGCCCGCCGTTTTGTTTCGACGTCCTTGAGCATCTGATATGCGGTGAACATTTCGTGTTTCAATTTCTGTGAATTTATTATGTCATTGGACTGAGTGATTTTTAGGTATCCTCACACTGATGCAGTCTGTTGAGTCGTAAAAATAAATAACCGTCCCAATCCTAGGCTATAAATTCACCCTACACCACTACGACGGTTTTGTTGGGGCTACAAGATGATGTGAGATCAGACGAAATACCAAAACATCGAAAAGGAGAACTACTGGAAAGATGGTAACGGTAGGCAGGTGCTACAAGTAGAGCGAATAACGATGATTTGTTCAACTCGTTAGCCAACTTACTCCATTTGCACAAACGAAGATTCAACTGGAACGAAAAAAGATGAGTTGCGTCTGGAATAAACACGAATACAGTGAATGCATAATCAAATTCAACTGTGAAAGACCTTTCAGAACGAATATTGAGATGACACAAGTATCGACAACTCTTTAACCAGCAATACCTTAATAACTGAAGTATGCCAAACAAGTCATATCCGAAGTAGGAGATGGAGGAGTTCGAAGATATATTTGAAAGGCTATCGGCATGTCAACTGAACGTATATCTGTGGGGGCTAATGAATGACAGTCATGTGTACCGCCTCGTAGTCACTCGTGAACCGGTGCGGATAGGTGACGAATCGCCCTCACTTGTATGTCCATTAAAACTAAATACTTGGAGAACCATTTTTTGGGGGTGGGGTGTTCGCCATACATATGACTTATTCAATAGTGTGATAGCGACGATCCTAAGACATTGCCAGTCATTAGTTTAAGTCCAGTGCCTTTGTCTTTCGTAAACATTCTTCTAATAGCTTGCCATGTTCAGCATCTTGTAGTCCTCTTTCCTTACTATAAAAACCTTTGTGGTACAATATAGTAATGAGACACAGACACAGTGAAAACTTCGATTCTCCGTAATTTTCTTTGGTTTTCCACATTTCTCAGCCGTCCAGACAAAGGAAGAACCAAATTGTGCGTTGAAATCGAAATACACCAATACTTGCGCAAGGACACAAAATGGTCGAAAACGGAAGAGTAAACTCGTATACATGTATTTTGTTAATATGTTTTTGTTTCTTTTTTAAAGAAAAACATATTCACACACATGCGAACATATTGTAGATCACCTGAGTAGATGATCTATGTCGAAATGATTGAAAGCCTGTTCGAGTTAGACGGGGTTGATGAGACCAACACTTAACTTCGAGCTCACACGCCGCGATCAGCATGTAACGTAGATTTCCTCCTCAAAGAATCGAAATTCTATCACTTTTTTGAATACTGTACAACACAAGAGGTGTTATTACGGAAATATATAATAATAAGAACAAGGACAAGCGAAATTGTGACCGCCAGCGCATGGGCCAACCATGGCGTACGACTGACTGGTGCGCATTCGTTGTTTTTGACTTTGATGAGGATCGATGATGTGTTCGGTATTCAGTCACCCAACTGACGGATGATTTAGCTCTGGTTCAGTGACATTTCACTGCCCCACCATATTAAAAAGTTGAAGATGACACAGGTATTCAGTGTTTGGTAACTCTTTTACCAGCAACACCTTCTAATATAATTTGTACTAATTAAGAGAAATCCAAAGGCAGAGTCAAAGAGATCGTAAGAGTGTATTTGGCGATAACCAATATATCGGAATTCTCTGATCTAATCTGGCTAGCGATTGCGGTAAATGTTGAGCACATTGTTACCACACGTGATCTGGTGTGGATGCATGACCGAGCGCCTTCAGCTAGATGAGTCCACTAAAACATATGGTCAGCATCCGATGTCGAAAACTTGGACAGCTATTTATTTTGGGGATTTATTTACCGCTACAAAGTGATGTTTATTTATTCTGTTGTAGTTTTGAAATAGCACCAACGTAGATGTCAGCCTTTCAGGGCCTATTGGAACTGAACGGATAAGGTGCAAACAACCAGCTTCCATAGACATCACACCTCACTGTTAATACCAAACCTGAATTAAGCTTCCGTTGTATGCCTGTGTGATTGCTACGTCAACTAGCATACAACATAAAGAACTTCATTACAAGAATATCTTAGTAAGAGTCGGCAGAAGAAATAAAGTGAGACTTTTTTCGCATATGCCAGTTCACGGCGTAAAAATAATTGACGGGCGTCGATCGTCTTTGACATTAACGAGGAGCGATAAATGGTTTGATATTCAACGACCTGACTGCCGTCCGAATTGGCAAGCGCCGTGGCATTTCACTACCACTGCAATACAAATATTGCGAAACCTTATCCTTCGCAATCCATGAGGAAGTACGTTCTTACGAGTGGGACACGCGTTTATTATCTAAATCATCCCCAGACACATTTGTAGTACAGTTAAAAACAAATACATTATGGCGATACGTCTGGATGTCATCAACGTCTTATCAGTGTCGCACTACAGTTTTAAATCATGTTTTTTTTATAAATCGAGTGAATTAGAAACTACAAAACTAATAACGAAATAATTTGCGAACAAGATTTGTATAGGTACCCTCATATTGCTGAAGTCTTTGTGTCGTTTAATTTGGTAACTGAAGTAACCTTGAGTTACATGTTTGTCCATCAAACGCGCAGAATGTACGGCTGTAATACACTTTTCTTCCTAGTTGCAGTTATTAGATTCCCTTGACTTCACAGTCAAGCATCAAAAAGTTTTTCAATCGTATGTATCGGTGAGTGTATTCCACCTGACGAAAGCTTTTTTACCTTTCTGTCATTTCTCGATTGTGAAAGGAATGCAACGCAAAAAGGGAAAATGGTGAGGAACAGTGAGTTAGTTCCGGATGAAAGTTTACTTTTGCCCCAAGAGAAAGACTTTCATGTAATGTCTCGTTAATTAGTACATTCATAGAGACAGTAGGGGCAAAGTTGACCTTTCAAATTAGGCAAACTGACTGCTAAATTTGTGGAAATTTGACCGATATAACAGTTAAATGACTACTTCTGATGTAGGGTCATCGCGGACGCATCTCGAAAATCAGACGGCTAACCATCTGACGCTCTAGTTATGCACTTAATCGCATCTTATACGTGATTATCCCGGTGATGAATGTAACTCATTTCATATTGGTACTTTATGCTACGGACATGTATTCCCATATAGGTCGTTATACGCACTTTCGGCTTCTCATGTCCGGCATAGATTCCTAAGTAAAGCCCTGAGTATTATTAGTCACCTGAAGTCATTTACTAATGAGAATAATCAAACAGTGTAACTTAGTTGACACGGGTGGTTGTTACCAGTTGAAAAGTAGGAATCCCCTTCCATAATTTGATCAGTTCTCCGATTAACACAGTACTTCCCAAATAAATTTATACCAGTTCCTGCATTCAACGCTTGGTGTATGGAGATACTTGTTTGGTGAAATACCACTGAGTTATGTGTTCTGCTCTCGTACTTTCAATCTTTGTGTTGGTTATAACGTTTAGTTTCCGACAAACTATACGACATATGGTCTTGGTAACCTTATGATCAGTTCCCAACTCTGATTCACAAGTAAACTACTTGTTAGCTGTTGTGTGTCCCATGAACCTTATGTTCATAAACATACCCACAAAAAATGATCTGACCTAAAAATCCTCGGTTAATTCCAAAAAGATGCACTCTGTAGTCTTTTCGTTTTTGATGTAGATTTTGCCGTTTTCATCCTATTGATTGTTAGTCGTGAATCAGTGTTTATTAATATTTGAAAACTTTATTCGTCGTTTGATCTGATACATGGTGATACAGTTAGTTTTCACCAAAGGTTTAGAGATGCGAAGCGGGACTAAGTGTACTACTTATGGAATTACTGGGTGTTATTTTGTCCCATTTTTGCTAGAGCATGAAATACGTAAGTTGCTGTCTAGGATTATTTTGTGAAATTCATCATTTCCTACAGTTTTCAAGAGCTATGAAGTGTTTTCCAAATATTTGTATATAATATACAGATAGTTGATTTTTAGTCGTTCCGTTTATGGAACGCCTAAACCGGTTTTACATGTCGATTGGTGTTTAGCTTATCAAAAATTATGAATGTAAGTGTTTAAACTTTGACTTATTGATTACAACATTCACGTTTCAGCTTTCGGCTTTACAGATCATCGTCTGGTGTAAACCCTTAATCTCTAATATTCTTAGTTTCGTGATAAAGTTTCTCCGTTTTAATAGCAAAATAAGATCAGTATCCAAGTAATAAGTTACTTCTTTCGCAACTCATCTGTTATTGAATACCATTCAGTTATATATTGCAAAAATTACTTCCTTACGCATGTACCTTTGTTTCGAGGAGCACAGGTCGCTCACCAGCATTCTCTACCCAACTCTGTCCCGAGCAATCCTTTCCAGTTGCTCTTCATACTTTTCATGTATGCTTCCAATTCTTGACACAGTATTTTCTTTGGCCTTCCTCTTTTCGGTTTCCCTTCGCGATCCCAAGTCAGCGCTTGCGTCCTTATGCAGTTTGATGGTTTCTTCAATATATGTCTTATTTTACTTCCAGCGTCTTTCGCTCTTCAGGTGGAATCTGGTTTGTTCCCTATCACGGTAGTCTGTCACTGGTGATATCTGGCCAAATGACATTGAGAATCTTGTTTAGACAACTGTTTATGAATACTTGTACTCTTTTGATGATGGTTGTAGTAGTTCTCCAAGTTTCAGGTCCCTACAGCAGAACTGTCATGACATTCGTATTGAAGATTCTGACTGATGTTGGTTGACATTTGTTTTGAGTTACATATATTCTTCAATTGTAGGAATTCGGCCCTTGCTTTGCCAATCCTCACCTTTATGTCTGCGTACGGTCCCCCTTGTTCATCGATTATGCTTCCCAGGCAGGTGAGACATTCAACATCTGTCATAGCTTTTCCATCAAGTGAGATCGGTTTGGTGTTCTCCGTTCTGTATTTGAGAATCTTACTTTTTCCCCTATGTATGTTGAGGCCTACTGACACAGGTTTCTGCTACACTGTTTGTCTTGACCTGTATTTGTTGGTGTGTTTAGGATAGAAGGGTTAGGTCATCTGCAAAGTTCAAGTCGTCTAGTTGCATCAAACCTGTCCACTGTATTCCGTACTTTTTGTCAGATGTCGAGGTCTTCATAATCTAGTCAACCACTAGAAAGAGGGAGAGTAGGCAGCCTCGTTTGACTCCGGTCCATATTGCAAAACTACTAGTTATAAAGATTCTGCTTCAGATTAGTACTTAGGAAGTTTAACTTTATTGAAACAAAGGGTATCACAGTGAGTTCAGGGCTAATCGTTTAATCCTCATTGACCGTATTACAGTTTCGGAACTGTCAAAAAGTTTATCAAGCAAATGGGTTCATCGCCTTGAGTTTTATCGTCAGACTATCTTGTATGATTGTGCAATATTAACTAATCATCAGCTATCTCTCTTGCAATATATGCAGCTATTATCATATAGCCATCTATCAAATACAAAACATTTTTTGGAGCAGCTTATTTTCCTGGCAGTTCGTTGTCTCTGTGTATTAGTCCTGAGCTACCTTTTTCAGGATTATCGCGACTAATATTGTATGAAAATTATATCGCACCTACTTTTCTCAGGATTCCTGTTCTCTTGCCAGATCCCTGAACTGCCAAAATTCGTAACTTGAGTTTATGATCTCCTATATTTTTGATTTGAAAAGTTGGGTAGCATGGTTTTAGTAAACGCTAAAATCTACTTGAGAGTCCACGATTTTAAAATTTCTTTCGTTTGTTTATACATTTGTGTGCAGTCGCTAAGTGCTTCGTATCAGTTTTAAATTGTCTTGCTTCAGAGATTAAAAAGATTTATTTGTTTTCTACAGCAAAAATGAAGTCAGAAAATGGTCCCACAATCCCGTTCAGTTCTGAGTAAGTTTTAATTCCACTGTGTGGTATAGTGTCTTTATTAGGATTTCGATACAAATTTGTGCCAGATCCTTGGCTGATGGTGACTGATTACTTTAGATCGTTAGAGGCCTCCTTGTTAAAACATAGCTTGTTTAACTTCAGTACTTAATAATATAAGTTTGGATTTTCAAATATTTTTTTCTGATTAGGGCTTCTGATTCTTTATTAAAAGACTCCAACAAGCACAAAATCGAAGTCGAAAGTCTACTGTTGGTTTTTAATATACATATTTTATATAATTGTTTGTTGGTAGTTAAACAAGACAAAATATATATTATTCTGCCTTCAAACTCCATTTTTAAATATCCTTATCAAGGGGTATGATTGAGTCACATTTCATCGAATAAAACCAGTGTACTCTTCTATTTAGAAAATAGTCATTTTAAAATGTACGCCTTTAATTTTTGAATTGTTTGGAGATCGGTCATTTTCAAATACTATCACCATTTTGATATTCAATGAGCATTTAAAGAAATACATATCATTATCCTAGTTAGTAAAGCATGTTAACTATCATTTATTAATAAAACTTTTGAAATGTTTTATGACCATTATTATATATTTGAATAATTTCTGGGAATTACCCGAACGTGCTTGTACACATCTTCATGCTAAAATAGTCCACGCATATAAATAAGCCCATATGGGATTCATGTTATATGGTAGGTGTTTAAGAATTTATAATTAATTAGGAGTAATGTCAAACCATTCGGTAATACTTCCATATTCTTCCACATCGTGGAACACCTTGGTATTTTGGTATTTATCTATACAGGAGCTTAGAAGTTTATTCTTTGCATGGAGAATTATTCTTTACGAAAAAGGGTGTAAACTCAGTGCCAAACGGTTACTAGTTTGTCAATATGAATGTTCTTTCTGGTGCCTCTAAATAGATCACTAGAATTAATACTTGATAAAGAGATATTTCCTTTCAGTGATGGTAAATGAAAGATTTCACACGAATTCATTTGAACTAACGAAGTTGTTGTCGTCAGTGAGTACTAAAAATAGTCTTTTTTACACCAGGATTCTGCAGTGATTCGCGTACAATAAATTTGAGATTAGACTCATAATCTTGATCTCATTGAAATTCCGATGTCGAGTTACTAAATCTGAACTTAATCGCTAACTTTGTTACCAGTAATTCATGATAACACCGTCATCTGAAGGTATTAGCCAGAAGTTCTCTTTCTCGATTCATTGTAGAATGCGGTAGCAGAATGACGAATTACTTTACTAATACGTCATAGGTTTATTATCATTTTAACTTCAACAGTTTACAGTTATATTAGGCATTTGGATCATCTCTTAGCAGTATACAGTTACAATACAAAATGTTTTCCGTTTAGTATAGCATTTAATACAGATTTAGTGTCTTTCTATCTTATCATTTGTATTCATCGATAACAAAATATAAAGTATCATCGATATTGATTTCGATTATGGTATGGATCAGTATTCTTAAGCGACTGTTAAGAAAAAAAGGATATATTATTATTTTATATTATATATGTTTCTTTAGTTACCGTAATGTTAGTCACTACTCGGGTTAATTTTTACTAGAATTTTCATTAGAGAATTAATTCAGGAAAATGATCATCACTTTTTCGTTGACACATCACTTCCAGTGTTTTAAATCATTCTTGATCTCCGATTTTTGAATAGCTATTGTTTTTAATCATTAAACATATGTTTAATATAATCTAAGTGACATTTATTTGAACGCATGACATCGCATCTGAAATGATTGTGCAAGTTTAACTTCAATCATACATCAAATCGAAAAATAAGCCGTTAGTTAAACCATTACATTATAATCCATTCATATGAGATCAAAGGTATCATAAACAAGTTGTGTGTAAACTAATTACCACACTAAACAAAAATCAAAACTTTAACTACTATGAGACTTTTTAATTATTTTCGTATTCATGCGATAAAATAATGTGTTGTTAGGAAGTAGGACCTTTCTACTTGAGATAGTTCAGGAGTATGAATTACTGTCTTACAATAATCTCTTAAATAGAATGGATAGAATATGGTTATCAGTGGGATTTAGAACACCTATTTCATTCTACTTGGGATTCATCTGGTGAATGTACCTGCATCCCAGAGTTGATGTTCACTCCGGCACTCGAAACCAGTACTTTTTGCTTCGGATACCACCACATTATCCGACTAAGGTTGATCAAATTTCAGTCAAAAGTATCAACAACGGGATGACCCAAACCATTTCAAGTTAAATTGAATCTCATACCCGTTGTACGAGTAAGTGGTTGTCTAAACTCAGTAGTTAAGTGGATAACGCGATGAAGTTTGAAACAAATAGCACTGCACTCGAGTCGCGGAATGAACAACAATTCTGGGATGCAGTTACATCCACCTGATGAGTTTCAGATAGGACGAAACGTGCGTCCTGAATTCCTCTGCTAGCTACATTACTCCTATTCTATACTAACGTGTCGTATTAGCTATATCAAAGCAATCCACACAGGATGCCCCTATGCCATTATTTATTTATTTAAACACACAAACATTGGCACAATGTGGCATCACACTTTGCCATTCGATTTGTTCGAAAGCTGGGATATTTTTTGGGCACCCAAGCCGAAGCAGGTAGTTTTCTTAGGGAGCCACTCCACGAGCCTTTGACCTACATGTCTAACCCACAAGGCAGTGGAACAACGAAAAGAAGTGCAGTCGCATGGTAGCCGGTGACCAACAGAAAATTCAAGCGTCATTTGTTCCCTCAGGACACTGGAGCCCATGTGCACCACTGGTTTGGAATCAGGGTTTTCCGATTTTTCTAGGTGGATCCTGCATATCCACCAATCCGGTTAAAGCACCGGATATTCGCTTTCCGTTCACTCAATTTCGTAAACAACACCCCTGTCTTGAGAAGGCAGTGAGTGAGACTTCCGTAGCAGTGGTTGTATCTACGTGGTCATGTGAGTGCATTTCGAGGGGGGGGGGAGATCGAAATCTTCCCTCTCGTCCATACCAGGACATTTGGGAGCAACGAATACTAATGAAATTTGAATAAGAAAAGTATCAACAGCGAGATAACCCAAGTCATCTCGAATTAAATTAATTTTTTTCAAATCATACATACAGATATTTCAATAGGTATATATGTCCTAGATTAACGTTTTATACATATTTCTTTACTTTCAGTGCGCTTGTATCAATACTTTCTCACAATCTAGCATCAAATTTAAAACCCCATCAAGTTTTAGAGGTGAGAGTTTTTACTTCTTAAATAAAAGTTTGATTTAAAATAAATATGTTTATCATGCATTTGAAAAGAAAATGTTATTTTTTGTGTAGAACAATATGGAATCTGGTGCATTCATTCATTGAATTTAAGTTGTAAAACTTACCATCATTACATCGTTTTTAGGCCTTGCGAAAACGAAATAAACAAATATGCATCTGCCTGCTGAGTTGGACTCTCGTTATCATATTGTAACTCAGACCCACGGAACATTATCCACAGATTGTATAGAAATTCAGATGTGAAAATGTCAACTTCAATCTCACTGATTTCCAGTTTTATCTAGTGTTTCGTCTTTAAAAAAGGCAGAACATAATTTTGACGCTTCTCTTAACAGTTTTCACTTAAGCTATAGTCACATAACTGTAGTTATTAAATTCAATTTATACATCAGTCATCACTAGTCTTTAAAATGTAGGAGGATCATTTTATTTTCATGTTTTCGTTTGTACAGTTTCAGCTTTCATTTCACTTCTCTGAATAACAATGTTGTTTTAAGTTCCTAACATGTCAACTGTTCATTTGAATTTCAAGTTTTTTGTACCTTCTGTTAATACCACGTCCATTTTTCTTTCTTGACAAGAATTGTTTCATCAAGGTTCTCTTAAGGTTTTAAAATCAACTGACTGATCATTGAACATCAGGAATTATCGTATAGTTGTTTCATTCTAAATTTTTACTTTCATGCTTCCCCCTAAATTCACTAGTTTTTTTAAATTACTTTATCACAAGTTAATCATTAAAATCGGTACTGTGTTTAGAAAGCTGACATACTCGTTTAATGGAATCCTTAACATTCTTTTGGTACCGACAGTCACTATACCTATGTAGTTCCCAAATAAAACCAAGATGTATCATTATACCTCACTTTATCCCTTACTAGTGTTATTCTGTGTAAGCAAGGTAGAATAATAGGAATTGCTTTAAACACCAAAATTCGATTGTTCCCCTAGTATTGTATGTTTCGCTCAGTCAAAAAAATTAAAAGACAGCACCAATCATTCGGCCATGAAGGCTTATTAGTTGACAAGAATATAACTCCTTGTTAACATTTTTATCGATCTAAAATCCGAATTAGCAAATGTTTGAACAGTTTGCACTGATTTAATAACGATAATTTGTGAAGCAAGATTATTCACACTACGTAGTAGCATGAATAGAGATGCTTTCACATCATCCACCAAAATGATGACTTCTGATTTTATCTTCTCTGTAAAATCTTTCGAATTAAATATGATGTGTTAACGATTATATATATATATATATATATATGGCACAACCATACTGGTGACCTTGGGTGACTTGTCAGCGAATCAGGGAATGCTGGGTTAACCGGAAAACAATGGAATAATGGCTTTAATCTGAATTATTTACCCCCCCCCCACATGACATATTGTTTTTGCATTAAAAGAGAAAGGTCAAGTCTACACATTATTAGTCGGGATAACATTATGAATTACGGTTATCACACGATAGTTTTCATCACCACATAATATCGGTTATAATTTAAAAAGGTTAAGGTTGTGTATTAAAGATAAAGCTGGAGTTTTGAGTTGGCTTTACAAATTAGGTTTGTTGTTTTTCATCAGAAAATGGCATCAGTTATAATGTAATGCTTTCCCACCCTTCCGTTCAAAACCTTAGGAAAATTAGCGTTGAGATTTAGAGAAAGATTTGGATAAGTGTTAGATTATCTAGCGTGACTAAACATTCTTGACTACGCATTAAATCATACTAAGTACACAATCTGCCAGGCATGTTTTGTCATTTAGGTTAAGCACCATCGTAAATTCACACTTTGGTTGTTTAATTGATTCCGAGCATTTTACGAATCAATTATTGTCAATTTTAATCTACCTAATAACAACATTCAAGCTATCCATCATTTGACTTGGAATTTCATGCAAGTTACATAAAGAATTTTCTTGATTTTGATTGGTTAACTCAAGGCCGTCAGTTTATTATACGTTAAACTGTATCATTTGCCTATATGCAAAAACTTGAATAAACGAATGTACACAATAAAAATAATTACGTAAAGCTATGCAAAAGCATCAAATCAACAGAACACCCCTCAAAAAACCAAGTCATGTATGAAAATCGAGTGAGCCTTCATTTCGTTTAAAATTTTATTTCATTAATTAAGTCGGGAATCAAAGAACTCTGCATTATAATCATTGGTGAATTTATTTTAATAAGTGTCTAGCACACATGACCGCATTCGTTAATTCCACTGCCTTTACTTACCAAATTTTATTTCTATGGCCACATTTTCACCATTTGGTACTCGATATGAAAGTTACAATCAAAAATTATGTTAAATGATTATGCTGAAGTCATATATTACCTAACTTTCATTGGTTATTATTGTAACTTTAAGTTTCAATTATTTGATTTACACGACCATTTTATCTTTTCCCGTCATGTTATATTTACTCAGTATGTAAATATCTAATAACTTCATTTCATATAATAAGTAGCTGACAATTTATTTCATTATTCTTGATCTATGAGTAATGTCAATTTTCTTGTTTTATTTGGCTGCAGATAATTGGTTATTAGTAATGATTTGATTGTTCAATAAAATGATTTATGTAGCTGAAATCAGTAATGGAAAATCGATCGAGTGTTCGGACTCATAGTTGTTGACAATTTAATAAATTCGTTAGCTCATTTTGTTTCTTTGCATCTTGAAAATTTTATTTTCTAAGCTTGTACTTTCTATTTGAAATTGTATTTGGTTTTTTGTCGAATTTATTCCCAGTTTTAGTCTCGTCTTTTTGTTCAGTGTAAATCCATTAGTTGTTTTATCGAGTTTTACTGACGCTTAATCAGTTAACTGTATATTTAAAAAATGTGTATTGGTTGTTTATCTCAAGTTATAATTTTCTTCAAACTATCATAAATAAGCTGATATTAATTAATATCAAATCTTAATTATGATAGTTATCTAGTTCGTAACTCGCTACATCTACTTCACTTTGATTGACTACTCTCTCATACCACGGAAAGTTGTAGTTCAAAGCTGAGTACATAAACTTGTACTTATATACTCGATAAATTCACACTGTTTCTCTTGTTACCTTTTTTTTTTAAAAAAACTATTTTTTCGGATTTCAGCTCATCAAAAAGCTGTCCGTTAATTTAACTGGTCAGCAGAAAATAAATTTACTCGAACATCTCCTAGTAAGTGATGCTAATTTGTTCTTCATTACTTTATATATATGTTTCCAAGTTAAATTTTTACATGAGTTGAAATTCTTAAGTAATAAATATTATCACGATCCGACTAGATGCTAGAAATTTAGAACATATAATGCTTTCTTTGGTTTTTTTCGAGGTATTCAATAATCAATGTGAATACTTGTTTTTTAAGAATTTTTGAGTTAGACACCTATAAACCTAAATAAAATGCACTTTAGAGAAACAAATATTGTACATTACATGCGTTTTCTGTTGTTTTCGTGAGAATCACATCTTCCACTATTTGTTTCCTCAAAATTACACGTAAACAATACTACTTTACCATGAAAAGATGTGTTCTTGTGCGATATTCGAAAATTCTTTGGGGATCGTAAGCAGAGACAGACAGTAACCAGCGGTGAAGTTCAAGACGCGCGTTTCATCCTATCTGGGACTCGTCAGGTGGATGTACCTACATCCCAAAGTTTATGTTTACCCCGGGACTCTTGAAATGTAGAGTATATTCTTGTTCCTTCTAAAAACCATGTACTTGTTATTTCTTCAAAATAATAAACAGTTTCAAAAGAATCAGTAGCAATCAACATACATATGTTTGTTTTGATAAACAGACACATCTGTTTAACTGATTGATCTCACTAAACTTAACCAAATTGGCTTCTATGAATTTGAATAAGCAATTATAAAATCTCGATGTGACTGTGAACATTGTCTAATATTAACTAGATTACCTGCAATGAATTATTGACAATATACATGCTCGAGATGAACATTCAATTTAAATGTTTTCTTCGAATCGTTTTCCATCAATCTGTGATAATGAGTTGTTTAGTTTTCTGACCATACTAATCGATAGATGATCGTCACAACGAATAAATGTGACTGGTCTGTTTAACATTGTTTTCCATCTGACAGAATTGCAACATATATGACTAATACTGGATTTTTCTTACAAGATAACAGGAATATTTAGAAATAATAATATTCTGTGCATCATAAATTTTAAAAAAATGTTTTGTTCAACAGTTTCATAATAATCAGATATTACTGTGATAGAAATAAACGTTTTCTTTTTGAAGTTAATATTAATGCGATAGGATATGAAAGTTCAATTTTGTTTTGGGTTTACATCGAATAGGCTCTCTCGATTTCTCTATACAACGTTTGCGTATAGCAAACTCTATGATCTTCTGGTAGTCATTATGTTACGTAATCTTCAATATAGTATCATTAATAAGTAGTAATTTAGTGGCTGTGTAATTAAAGAACTAAACTTACATTAACCTGGTGTCAAGTTAAAATCCACTCTACTTTCTTCACTTTAGTTATCCCTCAAATACAAGAATGTATAGTTCGAGGTTAAATAGATAAAAAAAATCTATACTTGGTAAATGAGTGACCGCCATGAAAATGGCGGGAACAGTCAGTTGTGGGTTTGCGAAACGTCCCGCTTTTAAGCACTGGGTTTCTTCTGGTTCCTTACAACTCATTGAAGCCCGTCGGTCTACTCCGGGTAACCGTGAGTTTGACCATAAACGAAGGATTTTACGTAAGGAAATCGGGCAAAGCTTGCGTAAGGACCGAGAAGCCTGGTGGTCGATGCGTGTTAATGAGCTGGAAGCAGCAGCTGCATCTGGTAACTACCGGAAGCTCTTCCAACTCATCCGAGCCACTGGCAGCAAGAAGTCTGGTGTGAGTGAAACAATCTGCGAGGGTGATGGGATGCCAATCACTAACATCCATCGACGTCTTGGACGATGGGCAGAATTTTTCGAAGGGCAGTTCAACTGGCCTGCTGCTCCGGCAACATCGGTCAGACTGTCCTGCCCTCCATGGCCGGTGACGACTGATCCACCAAATGAGGAGGAAGTCCGCAAGGAACTCCAACTCTTGAAGCGTTACAAATCACCTGGCCCAGATGACTTACCTCCGGCTCTTTTTAAAGATGGTGGTGACTTTCTGACTAAGGAATTGACGACGTTGTTTACAAAGGTTTGGGAACTAGAGAGTGTACCAACGTCATGGAATGAGTCGATAGTTGTCCCTATCTTTAAAAAGGGTTCACGTCGTTCTTGTAACAACTATCGGGGGATAAGTTTACTTCCGATTGCGTCCAAGCTATTGGCTTCTGTCATTCTTCGTAGGTTGTTCAAAACCTGAGAAAGATTGACTCGCGAGGAGCAGGCTGGGTTTCGTTCTGGTCGAGGATGTATTGATCATATGTTCACCCTCCGCCAAATGTTAGAACACCGCCATACTTTTCAAAGGCCAACAATCGTAGTGTTTCTTGACATCAGGGCTGCCTTCGATTCGTTGGATAGGACTGTTCTCTGGGATTGTCTATTGAAGAAGGGTGTGCCTGAGAAGTTTATTAACATCCTAAAAGCCCTGTATAAAAACACCTCAGGCAGAGTGAGGGCATACAACCACCTCTCTCCATTGTTCCATTCGAGCAGTGGGGTTAGGCAGGGTTGCCCAATCTCACCATTCCTCTTCAACTTTGCCATCGATGACATTCTGGAAACAGCTCTGATGAATGTAAGTAATGGTGGTGTGGATCTGTTGCCTGGAGAAAGACTTCTCGACCTTGAGTATGCGGACGATATTGTCTTACTGTGCGATAATGCCCAAGGCATGCAATCCGCACTTAATCAGTTGGCAATCAGTGTCCGTAAGTACTGTATGTGCTTTGAACCTGCGAAGTGCAAAGTACTTCTACAAGACTGGCAGGATTCCAATCCTGTACTCACCCTGGATGGTGAGCAGATAGACGTAGTCGAGAAGTTCGTGTATCTGGGTAGCTGCATAAGTGCTGGTGGGGGTGTGAGTGATGAGATCAATGCACGAATAGTGAAAGCCAGAGCGGCTTATGCCAATCTGGGCCACCTTTGGCGCCTTCGTGATGTTAGTCTGGCTGTAAAAGGCCGGATCTACAACGCGTCGGTGAGAGCAGTTTTGCTCTATGCTTGTGAAACCTGGTCTCTCCGAGTTGAGGACGTTAGACGACTCTCTGTGTTCGATCATCGCTGTCTCCGAAGGATTGCTGACATTCAGTGGCAACACCAAGTCAGTAATTCAGAGGTTCGGCATCGTGTGTTCGGGCACAGAGATGATAACTCAATTGGTGTCACCATCTTGAAACACCGACTTCGGTGGCTTGGACATGTTCTCCGAATGTCGTCCCCGAGAATTCCACGTCGTGCATTATTTGCCGACTCTGGGACTGGTTGGAAGAGGCGGAGAGGTGGTCAGTGCATGACATGGTGTCGTGGCATGAAAGAAAGCTGCAAAGGACTGGCTTGTGTTGGTCCTTCACGACTCCCTGGCTGGGGTCCTAGAGATGGTGCTACACAGTGGCTAGAGACGTTATCAGATATGGCTCAGAATAGAAGCCAGTGGCAATCCTGCTGTAACCTTCTTTTACTTTCTTCATAAAAAGTGGTTGTATCTTCCTTAACTGAAAGATTTCTTCTGATTGTACCTCTTCGTCATTACTCTCTCTTTCTTTTGCGTTCCTTAGTTTTTTTTTCTTCTTTTTTTTCTTTCTACTTCTCTTCGAATTCCCATTGTTTTGTGTGGCGCATATATATTGGCGCTCTCTTGTACCAATATTTATGTGTTCAAATAAATAAATAAAATGAGTGACGGCGTTCAATTAAAAATGATTAGCCTAGTTTAAACTGTTTCTGTTCTAATCTTATCGTTATACAACATTGTCAACCTGTGTGTAATTAGCTTTTATAAATTTCCTGTTCACTAGGTATGTCGCATTTTTCTAAAATCTAGTCACTAACTTTATAATTTACTGATCTTATCTTGATGTAACTGGATATTTGTATGCGATCATGTCTGTATGTTTGTTTTCGTGCATAATAGTCTTTCTGAAACAATCATCATATCAATATAACATCCATTTTCTTTAATTGAAACATTTATGAATTATCATGGTGGGAAGTTAAAACGCCTTATCGATAAGTACAATTTTAACCTTTAATCATTCTAGACAATATTTTTCTAGTTGTATCAATAAACATAGTAATATGATACCACATGGAATACATTAATGCTCTAAAGTTTAATAATTAAAACTTACCTTCAAATATAGGTTGTTATTGGTGTACAAAATTTACGATGTAACAAGCATACAGAGGGATTTATTTATGTAATGGATAGGATAACATTTGAATGCTCAGTTTAAAATAAAATCTATCATACAAGTTATTTATACTGTAAATTATTACTTCCTTGTATATAGATACATTTTCAACTCATACCTAGTTCAAAATACAAATATTATTCGTGAAATTTCTTGGAGAGAATAAACAAAATTGAACTAGGCGAATAGCTACTGTTTGTAAACATTTTCATGTCATTCTTGAAGTTAAAGGAAAGATTAATACGTTGAAAGTGTACTAAACTAAATTAGGAACAGAATCTGTGGTCGTGGAACAAATGAACTGTATACTAGATGTTCACTGGAGAAGATCTAAATTTAAAATTTCACTAGGGAAATATTAAAATGAGTATGTAACGATCCCCGTCGATTAGGTTTTCATTACGTAATCGTCAATTGATTACAAATAAAGTAACTACGAAATAGTGAACATATTTTTTACAATGTATGCTAAAAATTATTTCCTAAAGATTTCGTTCGAATTACGTATTGTTATTTTTTCTAAATCTTTCTAAGGGTTTAACTTCCATTGGACATTTTGAAAGCTTACGCTTAGCGACGCATCTCCATTCATCCTGTCAACGTATGCCCGATTGTTGTGACTTTGTTACTTGGTTACCAGCGGAATTAACTTTACGAATTTTCTCTTATCTATCATGGAGTAAGAGTTGTCCGAACTTTGTTTTAATTACAGAATTTATTCATTTTATCGGTTTGTTATTTTCTGTTTAAATATAGTTCTTTTGTGTGGTGGTCCAAATTGTGTAACCAATTACTCATTAATTGTCGTGTTCTGTTATCGATTGATGATGTAAATGAAATAATTGTTTTAACAATGTGATTCGGTTGTATACTTTTCAAGAGATGAAGATTTCAAGTTCATAGATGAAAACAGTTGAAAACATTCCATTAGTTATTATTGTTGGATATAGTTAGAGCTGTTGTCCATTGCTTTATATTTTTCTCGAGGTCCTTTGATCTAGATTGTCTTCCAACATTAAAAACCTCTAAGTTCAGCTATCAAGTTATTTAATTTTAATAAACATAGTTTTATTTCTTTTCTATCTAAGTAGTATGGATTATCATTGGTCTAATCAAAGTAACAGGTAGTATCAGTTTGATTGTCTCGCGTCAGTTAACGAATTTTTTATAGCTTTCTTCCACAAGTAGAAGTTTGTTTGATCGTCAGTATGGAGTTGTGAGGATTGTAGAATTTCATTGAAATCATGATCCAATACAAATTAGACCACCATTGAAAACCTGGAATTACTGGACGCCCGTGACCAGTGGAGCTAAACCGTGTCAGGCATGAAACAGTTATCCACCGAAGACAATAGATTACGGTGGTTCTATATTGTAGATTAATCAAAGGTAGACAATATGAGTGTTGAATGTTGGCTCAGTGGTTTAAAAATTAGGCGTCCACGTGCGAGACTGAAGATCTTGGGCTCCATTCCTGCCTTTAGGGTCATGGATCCGGACTATCAAGGAGTCCTATACGAAGACGAAACGTCAATCTAGTTCTTCAAGTCTTTCAATGGTGGTTTAACTTAATTCGTCTCACGATTTCAATGTTATTATTAATCGCTTTCATTTTCCAAATTTTCTGAAATCTTATTAAATTCTGTAGATTTCAAATGCTGTTTATTAATGATTTTTAACTATCTTACTATCAGAATGGGTTTTGTGGAGAGTTTTTTGGAAATTTCATAGGTTGAACTCATGAGTCGATTGAAGCTAGACCACCATAAAAAACCTGGAAGCACTGGACGGGCGTTTCGTCCCAGTATGGGACTCCTCAGCAGTGCGCATCCATGATCCTGCACCACGCGGGGTTCGAACCCAGGACCTACTGGCTTCGCGCGCGAGCACTCAACAACTAAACCACTGAGCCGGCATCCAACGGTGTTAATGTCTAACTTCAACTCACTGAAGACAATGATGTACGGTGGCGCAACTTCGTGGATCGGTTGGAGTTAGACATTAACACCGTTGGATGCCGGCTCAGTAGTCTAGTTGGTTAAGCGCTCGTTGCGAGAATGATAGGTCCTGGATTCGAATCCCGCGGGGTGTGGGATCGTGGATGCGCACTGCTGAGGAGTCCCATACTAGGACGAAACAGCCTTCCAGTGCTTCCAGGTTTTCCATAGTGGTCTAGCTTCAGTCGACTCATGATTTCAACCTATGAAACTATTACTGTTGATTATTTCCTTAGAAATTTAACGACATTTTTTATAGGTACTTTCAATTACATTTATACGTAAATAAAGATTTATCATGAGTAACAATTAATTATTTTATTCAAGTTGACTTATTTGTTTATTTAATTGTATGTGCCATTGCATCATTTAGCAAGAAGAGTTTAGATATAGTCTTAAAAAAAGCATTAAACAGCTAATTTCACACAAATTTCCCGACCAATAAATTAGAGTAAAGTAAGCATATACGTAGATTCTCATCAACTGCTTACAACGTAGAGACGATGGTTATAATCATGTATAACCAATGTACATATTTTATATCATATTACTGAAGATTTGTAGAATAATGATAAGAAGCATGGAATTGTTATCAAGAATGATAAAGTGGATGAATATTTATTTGATCACGTATATGGACATTCCGGAATAAAAAAATTTAAAACATATGGAGACACGTTTCTAGAGAATGAATATTGATGATAAAGTTATGTAATAACAACCAGTAATTTTGATAGAATGACAGAGTAAAGCAAGTGAAGCTCAAAAAAACCTAAGAATGAGAAAGGAATTTTTGATTACGAATGTGAAGTAAAATATCACTTAATTGAATGATAAGAAATGGAAGTTATTAGGGTAGTGAGAGATTTACAGCTGTTTCCTTTTTTAGTAGTTAATTATCAAGTACACCAACGCTACTTAACTTCATCTATAAATTTACTATCATACTCAAGAATTGATTAACTTTACAAAATTCATAGCTTCATACTGGATGTCTGACAAATAATCTTGAAGATAATCATCGACTGAATGCCGTTTGGTTAAAACCAGTTGTTTAGTTCTTCATTTTTAAAATTTAAGTTTGTCTAATAGATTATGGTAACTTGAACCGACGCACACATGTATCAGTTTCTACGTTGCGTTTAACTCACTGGTAATTGTAGTATCACATAATTTTCCTCAAATATGAACTTTATATTAAATCGTCAAACGTGAGTGTGGATAAGAGTGAGTGTGTGTGGAGTAATGACTTGTTTGAAAAATAATGCTTCTAAAATCACTTTAGTATGAACGCTTATGATAGTGTTAGTGTCTTGAGATTAGATGGTGGTTGGAGGTAGTCAACAGGAAACCCTGGACCCGGGTTTCGTGCTACTTGGCACTCGTCAGCAAGGTGTACCTGTAATCTTGAGGGAACTGGTGCTCCCTGGCGGATTCGATCTCGTGTCACCCAGCTTCACAGTCAGAGACGTTACCACTGAGCTATCCGAGCCGTGACTAACCTCCTGTAGGACTGAGATGTAATCACAATTGATTGATCACTGGGTGGTGATCAATCTCATGCTTGTTTAGTCCTTAATAGTGCAGATCGAATGCTATCGATCATGTTGCAATGTGGCCACCAGTCTAGGTGACTCGACACTGCGGGCACTATGTATTGAGATTAGATGGTGGTTGGAGGTAGTCAACAGGAAACCCTCAAGATTACAGGTACACCTTGCTGACGAGTGCCAAGTAGCACGAAACCCGGGTCCAGGGTTTCCTGTTGACTACCTCCAACCACCATCTAATCTCAATACATAGTGCCCGCAGTGTCGAGTCACCTAGACTGGTGGCCACATTGCAACATGATCGATAGCATTCGATCTGCACTATTAAGGACTAGACAAGCATGAGATTGATCACCACCCAGTGATCAATCAATTTTGAGTGTTAGTGTCTCTCAATTTTGTAACGTTAAAATCATAACTCGGCAACTAGATCGTGGGTTATTTCTGTAGCTAAAAATAAACTTCTATTTAACTTTTGTCTAGCAGCCACTTCATAGAGTCAAATTCAATATGGATCATAAAACAAAGATTTTTTTTATAAGTTTTTTTGCTTACATTATTCTGTATGCTTTTTTCGATAAACTTTGTTTTTTAAAATATTGATTTCTGTTTTTATCTCCTTGCAATTGGACAGTAGAGTATCCACCTTGAAAGTAACGGGTCTAGTATCCTGTTCGTAGTAAATAAATATTAAAATTATCAAGAGTCGACATCCATTGATCATTCTTAATATTGTAATTGACACATAACCCGCTTCCTTTAATTTATGGGAACAGTTACTATTTGTAAGTTTGCGAATACAATGTTGTTTTCTACCAAATAACTTAATATTATGACTTCTAGTTACAGTGAAAACGAAAATTTTATCCCAGTCAGATTTCCTTAATTCTATTTCTTATATATATCCAGCGACAAAAAATACGACACGATCAGATGTACAGGGTTCCCAAACTCATGAAAATACGTAGCTTTGATCTTTCCAATTCTAAACACTACCTGCTGAAAAATAGATTATATTCATCTTCAAAATCTCCGTAATACAAGTATTTGTTATTAACTAAAGTTACAAATTACTTGTACGTTGTTATTTAAATTATGTATCTGAAATCGTTAAAATTACGAAAATGACGGTCTAAAAAACAAATAATATTGCCTCAAATCTTGATATTTCTGATTCCGATGTATGTGTATAGTAATCAAATTTGGGCATCTCATGGCAGTCTTGTTGTAACTAATCAAAGGTCCATTTTGTTGATCCTAATGTATTGCTAATAGTTATCAAAACGTAGATTAATATAATATTAATAATGGCTCTAGTGAGTGATGTGTTCTCTGAACCAGTTAGCTTAAATATGAAGCTATTGTTTTCGTTCCTGACAACATCATCAGCACCCATTTCATGCACAAGTAAGCTTTTCAGTTATTCCCTCAGCTTTAAATTAGTTTTTTTTATTGCCTTTGTTGTAATTGTTCGTCCTTATTTGTCTTTTACATTCTTGTTGTTTATCATTAATCAAATTTCCATAAATTATATAGTTTTCTATTTTCCTTTGTTATATCGTCTTAAGAATCTTTGACAGTATGTTCAGAAGTCAATAAAAGTTGGCTAAAATACGCTCGACATCCTGATTTATATCGACACTTTTGTATGCTACCAAAATGGTCCTCACCTATTCTAAGAAAACCACAATTAATCAATTGTATAACAAAACCCAATGAACATAATTATCGTGTACAAGAGGAAAATTCAAATAATTTTATAAGCAATCATTTAAATATTAATGTAAGAATTTCAAGTGTTTATTTCTAGGTTATCGTTTTTCATATGTCAACCATATGAAAATGTGAATTCTCTACGCAAATTAATAAACAGCATCTATATGTGCTGAAGCCACATGTAGGTGTTATAACTGATAGAAAAATAAAACACTGACTGATATTCGAAGCGTTACATTTCGTGAACGTTGATTAAATGTTTTTTTATTATCATTACATCCTAGTATATTGTTCTCGATATAAAATATCATTTCCTGTATTCTCTTCCTTGTAATATTTACATACCTGTTTATTGAACATAAATGTGATGAGTTATAATTGAGGAATTGTTTTATTCATTAATTTGAAATATTCCCATAGTGTAAATTTAGAACAACATATATAAGCGAACAATATTGTTTTCGATTAGATCCTCATCAGGCTTTACTCTAATATACAGTAATATTTATATGCATATACGAAATTATTAAACCGATCAAGGTAGTTTATGAATCAATGATAACAGTGGAATAGATTGCATAAATAAGTGAAAAGTATATATTGGTAGTGTGACGACAGGTGTACTAGTAGCGATGGGCTCACTTCTAGGTCCTATCCATGAGGATTTTTTTCTTGCGAAACTAGAGAACGGACCTCTCGTGGATTTTTATCGATAAACCTGACTTCTACTATCGTTACGTTGATGATACTTTCACTATTGTCGATCAGAACATTGGAAAAGAAGAACTATTAAAAATATTTAACAACAAACCTTCAGCAATTAAATTTACATGTGAAGAGGAGCTAGATAATAAACTACATTTCCTTGACGTTTTGTTAAACAGAAAGGAAAACGGTTCTATCAGTAGAAGTGTGTATAGAAAAAGTTCTTTATCAACTTAATCCACACATTATTTAAGGTTTGTACCCCTTCATTATAAGAGAAACTTAGTCAAATACCTGGCAAATAGAGCCATTACGATATGTTCAGTCGATACAATTAACAATGAATTAGAGCCCATACACAATATGTAATTTAAATGGGTTATCCACAGGGTTTCTTGAAGGAACATTTGCGTGTAACAAACAAGAAAATAGTGACATCAACGGCTAGTAAGAAACCTCTTTTCCTGAATCTACAATCCAATGGAAATATAGGTGGTGATGTGCTACGTGATAGGCTGAGTAGAGCAGTGAAGAGAACGTTTAATGCAACTGACCTCTGTCTATAGTACTCGATCCGATCTCTGGTGATTCCCCAACTAAAGGGTAAGTTACCTGGTTATGCAACTTCTATGTTTATTTACAAATTCAGCTGCTCCTGTGGAGAAAGCTATATTGGGCGCACTACCAAGCAACTGAACCAACGAGTTAGTGAACACCTCCCTTCGTGGTTAGGAAAAGGTTACGTCAAAACAAGACGCAGCTCGGTTCTATCACACTTGATCGATAGCGGTCATATAGTGGACAGAAACAAGTCGTTCAAAGTTATTTATCGTTTTCCCACTAGCTTTCCTTATGGTGTTCGATCTCATCTCTTACACAGAAACTATAAGAATCCGAGCCAACAAGTCAAGTCTTTGTGTTCAGAAGAAATTTGTAACACCCTTATCTCTCCCCTGGTCTTAAGTAATAAATGAATTTATTTATTCTTTTTCTAACTTTCTCTTCGTTTATTCTTTTTCTCCACTCCCTCCTACCACTTTATTTTCTCTCAAATATACGTTTCATGGTCCAATTATCTGAACATTTCTTATTACGTCATTTTATAATTATTATCTCAGTTTCTATAGTTTTCTAATCATTGACCTATTTCCGATTATGTAACATTGGTTTGAACCTTTATTATTCTTATCAAAACTAATGCACCTGTTGTCACACCATCAATTTGTACTTTTCACGTTTCACTTATTATGTAATCGTTTTCATTGTTATCATTGACTTATAAACTACCTTGATCGGTTTAATAATTTCGTATATGCATATAAATATTACTGTATATTAGAGTAAAGTCTGATGAGGATCTAATCGAAAACAATATTGTTCGCTTATATATGTTGTTATTCATTAATATCCATTTCTTTTCTCATCATCGCAACTCGGTCACAATCCACAGCAACTCTTATCGATCAACACAAAATGTAATTGATCGAACTTAAGTAGGTAAATTGAATTCGAATGTGTAAAAGTGTTAAAATTTAGTTGCATCCACCAATTTATAGCCAATGACTGAGGTCAATTGAAAAATCCAAATCATGTATGGAACTTTATTAGCATTGACTTTGATATTTGGTCATTTTCCATTTTCATGATAATTTCATTTCTGCTTGTTGATATGGTGTAGCAACTTGAACTGATGCACATGTATGCCAAGTTATACATTGTATATGAATAATTGGACGAATGTAACAGATGATAAAACTCAAATCTAAAAATACACGTTTCAAAGAAACTGTTTTACTACAGAACTTAATGAGTTGACACTTATCAGTCTTCTTTTTTGCTTTCTTTTTCTTGTGTATAGATAACACATGAAAATTCTGCTAGTTTGATTACTTGTGTTATTTAAGATTTATTGTAATTTAATTGTATTTGCAACTGTTTAATTATTAAATTACTCGACTCAACTGCTGAGTCAACGTTTCGAATTCATATTTTTACCCAAATTTGATTTGTATAACCTGATGATGTCGCTAAAATTGTTTCTCAATGTTGAATCCAAGTGATTGTTTTTAGTGATTAGTTGAATTTGCTAGGTTTGAAGCTATTACGAGTTCACTTGGTATGCGAACAGAACAAAGACTTGTGACCGTAGACCAATAAGCTAGCTGTTTGATGCATCCCAGCCCCGCTAACTAGAGGAAGAAGTCCAAGCTTGGAACGGGAAAGTATATTCCGGAAGCACGAGTGAATAATAACAGACACAAATCAAACATTTGTATACAGCATAAAACTGTCCTTGGGAAGCGTACCAAAAATAGCATACTAAAAATACACAACGGACCAATAGCGTTAGAGATTCTCGAAAGTGGAAAATACGACATGAAGGTGAAAAGTGCGCTTTTGGCGCGAAAACAAGGAAATTTAAATTTCCGAAATAAAACTATAAAATTAGAGCATTTACCAAATGAGTTCTGGAGGTGTAACATCCCCAACAGAATTCTCGTTTAATCATATTTTATTCTTGGTGTAAATTACATATAACTTGTATTAATAAATAAGCTGATAAATTGTCTTTTGTAACCTCGAGAAAAAATAAATAATTAGTTTTAGTATTATATAATTCATATATTTCTCCTAAGTGTTTTGTTAGAGACAGCAGTTATACTCATACCTAGGTTGCAAAATTATTCACATGAAATCATTCTTACTAACTACTTAAAATACACTATATATATATATATATATATAATGCAATTGCTATTGTAAGGCTAATGATGGGAAAAGTCCCTTCTCCCTCTCGAAACGCTCTCATACAGCCATGTATTTGTAACCTTTGCCAGGAAACTTGTACTCACTGTCTTTACGCTACTGAGAGTTTTATACGAAAACAACAGGTCAAAGTCAAATATCCGACTTTTAAACCAAGTTGATGGATACAGAGGATTTACATATAGGGCAGTTGGACAAATTATGTCACTGTAGTCACAAATGTAATTAGTAAATTTGATGAACCAGAGTTTACGTTTCTGACGGATAAGTTTATTTTAATTTTTTTCTTCATTAGCCAACGATTGTTGATTATTTTATTTTTATAATGCATATATTTTACACTTAAAAGTTTTGCTTATTATCTTTACTTCACATTCATTAGTGGTTAAATGTATTCAAGAAACGTGTGTGTCTAAGACGTAATTTTCGTTTGGGCAAACATCGAATACGTAAATTTAATGGACATAGTGGAGGTATGCATTTGTTGTTTTTGTACAATTATACTTCTCACTATTTATTTACTATATAGTGTGATTTTCAGTTCAAGCACTTGTTTACTAAAAATGTAGAAAATTTTCTGCATGAAAAAAATCGTTGATTGGTAATTTAACTTCTCAAAATACTTATGATCTGTACATTTCCTATTTATGTGGTTATGTGATGTGTAGAGAAGGCCTTCGGTGAACTCAAGGAAGCTCTAAAAGAACCGAAGATATTCCATCTAATCACCTTTCGGAAGAACATTCCGGAATCTCGACGTGTAGTTTCCCGGTTGGACGAATGCTAGAAGCCACTACATGCGGATTGGATGACTGCAACGATTATTTCTTTTTTACTAAAAACTACAAATATCTGAGTGTTTTGTACCGTATTTGACACTGTTTTGAATGACGTCCCTTCCTACTTGTCTTCTAACTTGAGACTTGGATGGTTCTAGCGTTCGAGTGCTCAAGTTGTAGCAAAATAATGAGCTCTAGATATAACATGATGAAATATAGATTTTTATATTTGGTATTAAGCTACATATTTTATGTTTAGTTCAGGTGTACTACCCGAACTAGGTGAAGCAAGTTTGTGTGTGGAATGTAATTGTTGAAATTCTATTGCTGTCAATAAAGCATTTTTCTAAAAAGAAATGTATAGTTGATAATTTTAGTCGCTCAAAAATCATGATCGCCAGTGGATACGAACCTGTGACTTTGAGATTGTTAATTCACTTAACTATCAAATAAATAATCAAAATTTGGTATTTATTATTATTATTATTTTAGTAATGTTCACTAGTTGGTACAAACTCCCTATTCACTTTTTTTTATCATTGACTGTTTTCTCTGCCTGTGTTTACTTTTTTTCAAATCGGAGTCAAACGGATTTGGATATTATTAATTAATAATCTGTTGTATATTAGATTATATTGGTTAGTGTTCATTGTCAAACTGGATTAGCTATTTATTTATTATTATTATCATCATTTATTATGGCCATTTCGGTACTCGACTCTTTATGAAAATCTGAACTACTACATTACCAATGTAATGACCTTTCTGGGTAAATAGTCACGACTTGGAGGATATCACTATGAATAAATTACAAGTTACTGTATCGAGATAAATTGAATGTTTTTTTATTAGTTCGATCACCCAATTCTAACAAGTATTTAGCATTTTTCTTTAATCTTATCCATTATGTTAAACGTTGGAACTATATTTTTATCAATCTTTTAGTTTACTCATACTGCATAAATTACTCTATTTTCAGATGGTAACTGAATTAGTTAGTAAGAAAATATTATAATCAAAATATTCTTCTTGTCTGTGTTATGTTCGTTAATTTGAATACTACTACTGATTCGCCTTACTCGGAACGGAACGAAGAATCAAGGATTCAGAGACTCGATAGGCATGCTAGGTTGAAGCTATTACGAGTTCACTTAATCGGCTAACGAGAACAAGACTCGGTGACCAAAGAACAGTAAGCTAGCTATTTGATGCGTCCCAGCCCCGCTAACCAGAGGGAGAAGTCCAAGCTTGGAGTGGGAAGTATATTCTGCAAAACAGCCAGAAACGAGCGATAACAACAAACACAATTCAAAACGTATATATATACAGTGCATAACCGTCCTTGAGTAGAGTTACCAAATAGCATACTAAAAGACACAACGGACCAATAGCATTTAAGATATTTCCCAGTGGGAAATACGACATGAATGTGACAAGAGCTCCTTTGGCGCGAAAACAAAGAAATTCAAGTTTTCTAAATAAATTACAAAATTAGGTCCTTCCCCAAGTGAGTTCTGGGGATCTAACGTCCCCAACAGTCTGTTATCATCGTTATTTTATGTGTAGCATATATGTTTCTAAATCCTTCAGTTATACACATGAGAATGTGTATAATTAGTTCTACATTCAACTTTTGTCCTATCGTTGTCTATAATATGATATTGATTTAATGTTTTATTTTCCTAAATTTTCTCTTTAGCTGTTTATTGTATTGATTGCGATGCTTATCGTATTGTTAGTGGATCAGCTGACGCAACAATACGTGTATGGAATATTCGTACAAATGCGAAATGGTCTGTTCAAACACTTCGTGGACATTCAGATGCTGTTCGTTGTGTACAGCTACTATCCTTACCTCATTACCAATCAAATAATAATAATAACAATATCGATGGTTATTGTTCCTCTCCTACTGTACATTGTATTCACGAGTCAATTGCATCAATACCATGTTCTTTATGTAAATTAGATACAACTGTTACATATCCTAATTGTTGGGAACCACCCGAAGTACTATTAATATCTGGTAGTGCAGATACTACTTTAAAATTATGGCGTCTTTCTGCAACATCTAATTGGTCACGTATTGCATGCACATGTACATTGCAAGGTCATACTGACACTGTAAGGTGTGTACAGGTATGTGAATATAATTTATTCAACATTTTAAGAAATTATATCATATTCTTTATTGATGAATAAACATGTCAACTATTATTCATTAGACTTATTGAAAAGTTTATATATTGTAATGAACACTGTATTTTTGTATGTTGGTGTGATCATCACAATTTATAATATTTCACTTTTTGGAATCAACAGTACTGGTAACCTCAAAAATGGAGTGACATATTCATTAGGAAATACGCTTAACGTTTCACTAATGTGACTAAACATACAAGTTTGCATTGTTAGCTCTTTTTACTAGATGTTTATTCCTACAACGTGTCTGACCTTATAGATATAAAGAAAAACATAACGTGTAGAGTATTGGGATAGACATAAACCTATGTCTCAGTGAATAATCCATTTTTATTTGTTAACTGACATTTGTATTGATTCAGTATTCCATTAAAATCCATTGTTCAGTTTATTTAAGTCACATTTTATGAAGTTCTTATAAAATATCTCATATGCCCCTTGTATATGAACATATTGAATAGCTGGTCAACGCTTTTACAATTTAATGAATCTTGAAATTAACCATTTATATGTTCATATTAGTACAAAAAGGAATCTAATTCACAAAGTAGAGCGTTTGTGTTGCAAATCAAACGATTTTTACTAGTTGAAGAGAAATTAGTAAATCTCTTTCGTCTTAGCTTACATCCTCTATGGAACCTTGAATTAAAATAAAAGTATCTCTGATACTACTAGCAAATTGTTATCTGTGCTTTTAAAGGGGTTATTATTCATTTTAACACATAAATATTGGTATAAAGAGGAACCGAATAAATATGCGCCACACAAATCACTTGATTTGTGTGTGGGCTGTGATACTGCCCGGGTACCCAAACCAAAACAAGTGATTTTCTTAGGGGGCCACACACGGAGCCTTCGACCTAAAGATCTGATCCACAAGGCAGTGGAGCATCGTAAGGAGATGCAGTCCCATGGTAGCTGGTGACCAACGATTGGTTCATACGCCATTTGTTCCTTAAGGATACTGGAGCCCATGTGCACCATTGGTTTGGAATCAGGCTTTTCCAACTCCCCTAAATGGACTCTCTATACCCACCAACCCGGTTAAGGCGCCGGGCATTCGCTTTTCATCCTCTGAAGTTCGTTAACAACACCCCCGCCACGAGAAGACAGTTCGTTGTATATAAAATGTGAATTTCGTTCTAAACGTTTTACTAAATCATTGTTAGTATACCTTGCATTAATTTGGTGGAATACTACAAAACGTTTTCTGTACATTCGATTTCCATCTCCCAAAAATTTATATTTCCGTAGTCAGCAAAATATCGCAATTACAATCTTTCGTTTATTAACGAAACCGTTTTCACAACGGAATTCAACAACTCTTTTCTATTATAAATCATTTGACAAAATCACCCAATCATAAGTACTATTTACTTCTTTCTCAAAAATTATTATTTTAAGAAAGCCTAAACGTTTATTTACGTACCGATCCTTGACATTCAATGTTATTAATACATGAACTATTCATTATCTGACCACGATGATTTATTCATCTGCTTACGTTCATATAACGAGTATTACAAGACCAAACTATGTGTTAAAATAACCTATGAAACACTTAGATGAAAATTAGTTTACTGACTGTGCATTAAACATTTAATTACCTTTCTATTTCATAAATCCCTATTATCAACTATTAAAAACAGTTATCACTTTTTCCCCAGTTTTCTCTTAATGATATACATTTTGCTCTTGTCACTATAACTAACGACTTCAGTTCAATCTCTACTTGATCGAATAAAGTTTATTACAATATACATTCACAGACAAGATTATATCAGAGTAGTCAGACAGAATCATATATTCAAAATAAAAGTTAAATGTAAAAATGAAAATTCTCATACCCAATCAAAGCACTTTATGCTACTTGTATTTGAACTAACCAGATTTCAAATATACACGGTTTACAACCAATTAACAAATTATTACAAGCGACAAAATGTTTTTCTCTAAATTTTTTAATCATACTCTAAAATTTCTCAACAATGGGTGATGGGAAATCACAATCACCATGCAATAGTTGGCAACCCTTATATTACTTCTTTAGGGTTGACAAGTGGTGGAGAATAAAATCAATGAGTTTCTACCCTTTTTTCATATTTCGAAAAATTACTAGTGTGATTGGTTCGATCTCGCTTTTTAAATGTGGGGCTGACTGATGATACTTAACTAATAACCACCGTTCTTTATTACAATGTAATTGGTTGATTTCCATTGAGAATGACTAGTTGTCATTCGGTGGTTTGTAGTTTCATAAAACGCTGTCTCAGTCATTTCGACTATTTGGCAAGATAAATTTTTTAAGTGAACGAAGTCAATTAATGGTATTCAAATTCTATCCACTAAAAGACAGAATATTAGTTATCTAACACTCAATCAATGAACATGGTAGTTGTTAATAATTAATAAGGTTTAAAGCGAATCAACGCTGAACGCTTATCCAAACATGTTTAACAGTTAATTCTGTGTGAAGTAACACTGAAAGTCAGTTAATCTGAGATGTCAACAAAATTTGACATGTAAAATATGTAAATTCATTTTTTTTGTATTAGTTGTTTTAATCTTCAAATGGATGTTTAGGACTGCAATTAAACAGTCTCTTATTGGTATATGTGAATCCTGTGCGGATCGCCTTAGTTCATGAGCATTATAATCAAAGATGAATGATGGCTAGCAGTGTAAACCAAGACACGCATTTCGTTCGATTTAGGACTCATCAATTGGATGTACCTGCATCCCAGATTTGGTGTGTCACTTCGGGACTCAAACCCACTACCGTTCGCTTCAAACGCCATCTCATCATCCACTTAGCTACTAAGTTCAGATTGCCATTAGCTTGTGCAATGGGGTGAAGTTTAAATACTTTTTGTATTGTCTGGTTGACGAGTCCCAAATAGGATGAAATGCGCGTCCCGAAAAATGTTCTTCTCGGCAACGTCGTTTTGTTAGGCTGTTCAATTGTATTGACATGTAATCTAACCATTCATAGTCTATAATAAACTAGAAGGCTGTTGCGTCATTGGACAAACGTATTATGGATTATCAAACATCCTTTTTAAATCCGTGAGAAATGTAGAGATGTTGCATATTTGTAGTCTAATCAAGATTATCAAAAGGTACTACATCATTTAGTAAAATAATTGAAACTAATCAGCGTTCCTAAGTATCAAATATATTGGGTATATTAAATCATTATATTAAGTAATCAAAAGTTTCACGAGTTCGACTGAATTTGTATAATAATCTAAGTGGTAGTAAAAAAATATTAACTTATGGAGGAAGTGTAAAAGTTAATTGGTAAGTGGAAATATCGATAAATCCATAACGAATGAGGCTCATGGTAAAAAATATACGATACACAGATCAGTGTAGAAATCACTGTAGTAACAAAAGAAAAATTGAACACGTAATTACTGTCTGTATGTGAAGTTTGCCTCAGTGTTAATTGAATGTAAATTGGTAACTGTTGTCTTGATATTTTTTTGACAAAAATAAGCCAGAAAGTATTAAATCAAATTGTTGAAAAGGTCCCAAATAAGGCCATGTTGCGTTCTCATTGAATTCTCGTTGATACTTACTATGAAAAGTATTATTAACTTTGGTATCCACATACAAAACCTATGACTATATATCATAATCGTAACACTCCATACACAAAAGGTCACTATCGGCTGTTCTTGCAGAACAGGTAAGATAACAAAATGTACTACATCTCGAACATCTCACCCATTCGCCAGAATCATTTTCGGCATTTGGTGGTTGAAACAAATGACATCTAGCACAAATATCAACATTGTTATATTGGATTTAAGTCTTCATACGCACAACGAGACAGGAGTATGTAGGCATACAGAGTTTTGACGAGTTCATAAGAGGAAAGAAGATACTGTTTACTTCTATTATTTATCACCAGTTCTTAGTATAAATTTGGCATAATTAATGTGAATCATTTGCTAAAATCCTATTGCAACAGTTTCACAATTTTTTTTTCAAATCGCAAAACATTTGCCTGTTTATTAGTTTTTATTACTACTTGTAAATAACAATGAAGTATAAAATTTAAAATACATAAAAGTTATCTTTCTTTTTTTCTACACTATAGAATATGTTTTCTGAAAATAATCAACAATTCATTCCAACAGTGAAATTCAACTTTTGAACTATTGTTTTAGAGTATGTAAATTTTAACGTGCCCCCGAATGCCTTGGTACGGCCGAGAGTGGAGAGAGTCCGCTCTCCCTCTCGAAATGCTCTCTCATGGCCACGCGTACATAGCCTTTGTCAGGGAAGCCCTACTCACTGCCTTCTCGTGGCGTGGGTATTGTTTAAGAAATTCAGAGGACGAAAAGCCGATGCCCGGCGCTCTAACCGGATTCCAAACCAATGGTGCACATGGGCTCCAGTACCCCAAGGGAACAAATGGCGTATGAACCAATCGTTGGTCACCGGCTACCATGGGACTGCATCTCCTTAAGATGCTCCACTGCCTTGTGGATCAGACCTTTAGGTCGAAGGCTCCGTGTGTGGCCCCCTAAGAAAACCACCTGCTTCGGTTTGGGCACCCGGGCAGTATCACAGCCCTCATACTTATCAAATGAGATTTATGTGGCGCATATGTATTTGGTGCCTCCTTGTAGTAATATCTATGTGTTAAAATAAATAAATTTTAAAATTCATTCATATTGTTAAAATATAGTTTATGTATATCCTATATTCTAATAATTAGTTTAGATTTCATTTATGCAAAGTGGTAATCACTATATTGCACAGACGTTACCTCATACATAATTAATCACCATTATTGTAAGTGACTAAATTGCAACTTGATCGACATAATCCGATTAGCAATGACAACATAACTGTGATCTAAACATAATCGTTAATTATTATGATTCAGTTTTATGAAAGATAAATAGTAGTAACCTAAATAGCTTATTAATAATATTTGGGACTGACAACGATATATACTGTTTCGAATTCTACACAAAGTTTCAACACTCATAGTATTTTAACAGTGAAGCTCAACTGATGAAATATTTTTTTGATTGAATGCTATAGATATAGTAGACTTCAGTGTAAATGAAAGCGTTTTGTTTTCATTTATCTTCTGAATTAATTCATAATCACTTGAATAAAGTAATAATCACAAATATAATTTCACACATTATAATCATTAAAGTTTTAGATTACAATTTACAGTGAGCTGATACGTTGTATAAAATGGTTATAATATTCCCTTAAGAATAACTGATTTCAAACTGCATTATTTTTGTTAAAAGAAGTGAACATTGTGAAGTTTTGATATGAACGGGTTTTAAGTGTGTGTGTGTGTGTGATCAACATTATCTTCATGTATTCTGAAGTTCTAAAATCTAATCGCGAAGTATACTTCCTGAGTCTATATTTTATAATCTTTTCAGAGATAATATTGTGCACCATTTTAATATCACACAGTAGCTAAACGTGTGTTAATTGGGATCCAATATAGGTTGAAATAACTATTCAAAACATCATGAATTTTCAATCAATGAACTTGAGAACTTTTTTTGCATTTAAAATTGAATGAAGTCGTCATTAAATGTTTGCTGAATCTTAATATTCCAGCATAAATAAGCTGCATCATCAAGTTTGACCAGCTATTCAAATCTCAGATATACATATCGTAATCACGTCTGTGTTCCACAGACTTATAGACTGCATCGCTAAAATCAGAGTTCTTTTTTGTAGATTAAGTGTTAACGTTTCATTTCGAACTCGTTTGTCAATAGATTTACAGCACTTATGAATTATTCATCACTTATATTGTAATGAACGAGAACGCAGCTGGGGACAACCATAAAATACAGAGTTCTTTCGCCAAATGTGTAAACCATACGTTCAATACTTCATTTTATTTATTTATTATTTATTTGAACACATAAATATTGGTACAAGAGAGTGCCAATATATATGTGCCACACAAAACAATGAGAATTCGAAAAGTAAAAAAAAGGTAAGGAGCGTAAAAAAAGAGAACAATAACGAAGAGATTGGTGTAAGGTAGTGTGGTGGTAACGAGGGAACAAAAAGGTACAATCAGAAGAAATCTTTCAGTTAAGGGAGACACAACCCCTTTTTTATGAAGAAAGTAAAAGAAGGTTACAGCAGGATCGCCACTGGCTTCTATTCTGAGCCATATCTGATAACGTCTCTAGCCACTGTGTAGCACCATCTCTCAGACCCAGACCAGGGAGTCGTGAAGGACCAACACAAGCCAGTCCTTTGCAGCTTTCTTTCATGCCACGACACCATGTCATGCACTGACCACCTCTCCGCCTCTTCCAACCAGTCCCAGAGTCGGCAAATAATGCACGACGTGGAATTCTCGGGGACGACATTCGGAGAACATGTCCAAGCCACCGAAGTCGGTGTTTCAAGATGGTGACACCAATTGAGTTATCATCTCTGTGCCCGAACACACGATGCCGAACCTCTGCATTACTGACATGGTGTTGCCACTGAATGTCAGCAATCCTTCGGAGACAGCGATGATCGAACACAGAGAGTTGTCTAACGTCCTCAACTCGGAGAGACCAGGTTTCACAAGCATAGAGCAAAACTGCTCTCACCGACGCGTTGTAGATCCGGCCTTTTACAGCCAGACTAACATCACGAAGGCGCCAAAGGTGGCCCAGATTGGCATAAGCCGCTCTGGCTTTCACTATACTTGCATTGATCTCATCACTCACACCCCCACCAGCACTTATGCAGCTACCCAGATACACGAACTTCTCGACTACGTCTATCTGCTCACCATCCACGGTGAGTACAGGATTGGAATCCTGCCAGTCTTGTAGAAGTACTTTGCATTTCGAAGGTGCAAAGCACATACCATACCTACGGACACTGATTGCCAACTGATTAAGTGCGGATTGCATGTCTTGGGCATTATCGCACAGTAAGACAATATCGTCCGCATACTCAAGGTTGAGAAATCTTTCTCCAGGCAACAGATCCACACAGCCATTACTTACATCCATCAGAGCTGTTTCTAGAATATCATCGATGGCACCAACGCCAGCAAGACCAGACGAAGATGCCACGGAGTCCCCGGACAAGCGCATGTAAAACAAGCTTTTTGAAGTGACAGATGGAGAGTGAATTTGTAGTACTTCACCAGAGTATTGAATACGGGTCTCGGATAGACAGCAGACATCGATATGATGACTTTCCAAAGACATAGCCAGCTCTATCTGTTGTCCAACCTGCATAAGTGTGCGAACGTTGAAGGCAGCCAGTTTGAATGACGCACGTGGTTTCAGAAAAACTGCTTCAGTACTCATATTCAGTGGTAACATACAATTTTCAACCGGACAGTGACTCGAGAACGTTTAGATACAGTTGAATTTCCACCATAGACGAGCCACTGTATAAGTATAAAAGAGGGTGAATAATGTGGTAAATAACAATAATAATAATAATAGTGATAATAATTATAATAGTAATGGTAATAATAATGACGATAATAGTAATGATAATTATTTGAATCAATTGATTGTTTTTCGAAGCGAGAAAAGTAGTTCCGATAGATATAGAGAGTTCATCGTTTGCGTGTGGGCTGTGATACTTCCCGGGTGCCCAAACCGAAGCAGGTGGTTATCTTAGGGGCCCACACCCCGAGCCTTTGACCTAAAGGTCTGATCCACAAGGCAGTGGAGCATCGTAAGGAGATGCAGTCCCATGGTAGCCGGTGACCAACGATTGGTTCATACGCCATTTGTTCCCGCAGGATACTGGAGCCCATGTGCATCACTTGTCTCAAACTTCATGATCCCTTCATTGCCATCACAATTACTCGCTGTTCCCAATCTCTTTGTTTTGTTCTTTTCAACCTTCCGCTCCCAAGCATCCCACTTTCCATCGATGTTATATACTACTTATGTCGACATAAGTAGCACACTATAATATTTATTTATTTTCTCATGCCTCCGCGTGACTAGGTCAGTAGTTAGATTATTACAAGAGTTTATATGTATTCATAATCTTTGTTGTCACATAAACTCCTGACTCCTGCAGTTCGCAGTCCATTGGTCTAACAGTAGTGATAGATTGAATGAAAGTTAAATATCCTGGCAGTACCGATTAAAATTCTTCTATTATCCGTTTAAATATTTTAAAAGTTTGATTTAATTTTGTTTTATTATATAGGCTGATCATGAAAAAGTTATCAGCGGTTCATATGATTGTACAATACGGTTATGGAGTATAATCAGTGGCCAAATGAAAAGAATTTTCCGGTGAGTGTATTATATATATCACTATTCTCGTTATATTATCACAACAGATATAACACTTAGATATTGTTATGATTTCCTAATTGCTCTGTACCGTAAGTCTTCTCACATCGTTACTACATAGTTTAACCGTCGACTGTCCGCAGAGTCTCATCTACTCATTAAACTACCAAACAAAATACCTGAAAGACCATGTAATTACCTAGTAGTACTCTGTTCTTTTCAGACTCGAAATATCGCTTAACGTTATACGTGAAATACAAGATAAACCCGCTACATAAATAAAAAGTCTCAGTATGTACATAACTAGAATCTTTCCGGCAAAAACTTAAGTAATAGGTTTGTAGTTATTTAACAGTTATTTATAATTGATAAAAGATGTTCCAACAGTCAAAGATTCAAAAGAGTTTACAGTTAGGACAATATAAAAAACGATGAAATGATTATTTAACAAGCGTATATATATATACCAACTGTCCTGAGAACAGCTCTCAAATTTGCAATTTTTTCAGTTTGTGACATGGTTCCATGGTATTAAAGAAATTTGAACAGGACTAGCATGTCAGTTCTTCACGACTCGCTGGTTTGGAGGTCATTGAAATATTGCAATGCAGTGGCTTAATACGTTATCGTATATGGTTTTCTATTTGTTTTAATGCTCGGTTTTACTTCGTCTAATGTTATAACGGTTGGGTTTGCACGTTTACACGTATGGGACGTTAATTTACTTTAGACGAATATCTATACTACATTCCCTCCAAGTGTCTATTCTAAAGGACGTCAACACAACTCAGATCAAGAACACGTAATTAGCCTGACCACAACGTAAATATATTTCCACACTAAAACCCGACACAATCCAACAACAATGAACAATCAATAATAAGTGAGTCACAATAATAATAAGGATAGGGGAATATATAACTCATCTGACACCTGTCAGACTGTGGTGGCAGCAGAGAGACAAGAGGATCGAACAGTAAAGAATGGATGCAGGATGCAACTTTTATGAAAATGCCAGAACAAAATGTAGTGAAGGAGAACACAGGTGAGGACAACCGAATTATATTTAGCACATTACAGAGTTAATTGGTAAAATAGAAAACCATACTATAATACCTAATTTGCAAAATGTTCAATAATGTTCTCGGACTTCATTGTTCCTGCATTTCTATACTAATTGCTTTCTTTTCCCGTTCTTCCTTTATTGATCTTCCCAATCTTTTGCTGCCAGACATTACATTCCTGACTCGCGTTATATACTACTTATGTCAATATAAGTAGCACGCATCACAAGACTATCTACATGTCTGACTAAGCAGACAAACAATCATTATCATTCTCGCCCACACATCATTATTATAAGTTGACATTCAGAGAATTTTAGAAATATTTAAAAATAAATGTATTCTTACTTTTGTTCTGTTCATAGAGGTCACTCAGCCGGTATAACGTGTTTAGTGTACAGCGGTAATTTTTTATATTCTGGCTCTTTAGATAATACAGTTCGGGTAAGTTTCCTGATTTATTGATAAAAACAACACTCACTTTTTTTGAGATGAATACGAATTTTTATGATATGTGTTTTTTGATAGCTCGATGAGTAAAAAAGTGTAATTCTGACGTCTCGTGAAATAATGTAGATCCCTTATTCAGAGTAAATAAATAACACAAGTCTAAATAGTACAAAAAAAACAATCCAGAATATACTCTGTATAGTCAAAATCATAATAGATGTGAATACATAAATGTCAAGTTATTTCTGGTCAAGGTGAATTTGTATAACCTGTCACTGTATTAATTTGAAGTGGTGGGGATGAAAGTGTGTGTGCGTGCGTGTAGATTGTGGGTGAAAAATATAAGGTCAAATCTGGTTATTCGGATAAACAGTCCAAGTTGGATGAATATTCAGGCCTTCTTTTCTATTAAGGGCAAAGGGATTTTACATTTTATGAAATGCTACTCGCCTCTCTTTATAGTTGGAAAAGCTTTCGTGAATTATTTTGATATCAATTTGGTGATTATTGAATATAGCATGTACTGTTATTGCTGATTACACTTGTAGATTTCCAAATTCTACAGGATTATTAGATCTTTTTGTGAGTTTAACCAAACAACTACATTTGGTCTTATTTGTTTTCTGCATTGTTTCCTTTGTACTATTTAGAATTGTTCTAATTTTATTACGGTTCTGTATTTAATCTGAAGAAGTGGCTTACATTAAGTCACGAAACGTTAGAAATACAGTTTATTACTCATTGGGTTATCAAAAAATATTAACTTTCTGCCTAATGCACAATTTATTGGCAGCTATCAGATCCTAACTTGGGATTGATATCTACAAATTGTTTGCTTACACACATTCATATAATTTGTTATTTCAACAACTATATTAAACACTGAAATCCCCTTCTTTTAAAAAAACATATTGTACACAAACTGAGTCAAGAATAATTTTGATGTCTATTTGTCATCTATAGTGTATTCACTCGGCCATGCAAAACGAACCAAATAGTTAAATTCTTTAGATTTTCTAATAGTTCATGTTTACGGATCGATTCACTTAGCAGGAATATTGTACTAATTTTATTAAATAATAATACTGTTATAATTCTCTCTTATTACAACCCAGTTATTTCTATTGCTTAGTAATCTTGGACACCAATTCACTGGACAAGTTCCCAAATCAGAACACGGTTGAACAATAAAGAAATTATATTCCAAATAACAAGGGTAGATGGAAGTAAGAAGCACAATAACAAAAACGTTAGTATATTCATAGTTTTTTACACGAGAGGATTACAGAGTGTTCTTCAAGTATCGACGGCGAGACTCTAATTTATAGACGAGCCAACCAGAAGCGTTTGAGCAACTTCAAGGTCATGGGGCCAAGTCCAACACCTGATGCTCACATACGATCGGTTTATAGTGGATTTTAGAGATGAAGTGATTATTGAGAGGCTACAAGAGATGAGACTACTAAGAAGTTCCTATACCTGTGACTGCGGTTATCAAGTGACTGAAGTAAAGTGTGCAGACTACCGTGATGAGATTGTATTTCGTTGTTCTTTATGTTGGAGGAAAAAGCCTTATCGAACGAAAACTTCCTTCGCTCGATCGCGACTGAAACTGAGGCAGATCATGATAATAGTTGCAAATTGGATAATAAAGACACCAGTAACACTGGCTGCGGCGTTTGCAGATGTTACTGAAACTTCAGCAGTTCAGTGGTATGGGTATTGTCGTGACATATATGCAATTAAAATGACACGTCTACACCAATCATTCGGAGGAGTAGGATGTATTGTGGAGATAGATGAAACAGTAGTGAGAAAGCGAAAATACAATAGGGGACGTAGTATCAAGGAAGATTGGGTAAGCAGCACTTCAGTAAATATACTTTACAAGTATTTGGAATTTATGATCGATCAACGCAAAGGGGACATTTTCAGAGGGTCAGAAACCGGCAAGCAAGCACAATAATACCAATTATACAGGAATACGTGCAGCCGGGCACTACAGTAGTATATACGGGTGATTGGAGAGCTTATAGATGCCTACATAGACTTGGGCGTATGCATCATGTCGTAGTGTACAAGCGCCATTTCGTCGACCCTACAATCGGCGTTCATACTAATAATATTGAAGTCATATGGTCCAGACTGAAGGAAATTTTAAAACCCTAGCACGGCTCTAGAGGACGACTATTATGGAGTCATATGGATGAGTTCCTATATCGTATGCATTATGATTTCAGAACATCTGAACCTTTATCGAAACTTAACAAGCTTTTAAATCATGTAAAAGAAGAATATCCATTGTAATTCATTAGTTTCTTATAATATATTTTCACTTTATACTAACTGTCTCCTGATTGGCTAATAATTCTCAAGGTCATTTAAGATTCGTTCAAGGTTCGTCCATAAATTAGAGTTTCGCCGTATCGACTAGCTCTGATTGGTTAACTCTTATTCAATCAGCATGTATCAACGCAATCGTGCATTGAGTATGCTTTAATCTAATATGTCCCGCTAACAAATGCATAATAGATTTATTTACCAGGAATCCTTGTGTTTGCACGGAGAATTATTTTATTTTAATAGTTTTTATCTACTCTGATTATAGTATATTTTCCATTTTTATAGAAAACATTTTGTTGTTGTTGTCGATCGGCTAGATTATTTGAATAGTGTAATGAGAATGGTAAAGATTATCAAAACTATGTGATATATTAGCGAAATATATTTCGAACAATCTGATCACACATATACTTGTTAATAATATTTATATATAAAAATACAAAGGTCAACTAAACAAATGGGGTGCTAAGAGAAAACAAAGATAATCAAGAAAGTAATATGAAAAACAATGTGAAGCTCATCATGGTGGATAGTAAACTAATATTACCAGGCTGGATTACGCTAATATGTCATATAGTTCTGATAATCTTGATCTTCTCATTACACTACATAAATTTATCAAAGGGTTAGATTATTGTTGATTTGTCTGACTTGTTTTGAATCAAAATAAACTAACCAATAGGTAATATTCGAACACTGTGTACTATGTACACAAATAAAACATTAGATTCATAAACATATTATATCTATGATCTTAAGTAATAATTCTTATTAAAACAACTCCTCATATTTATTGTTGATTGTAATTATTGTAATTGGTATAGCTGTCAGTTGATTTTAATAGTAAACAGATTTTTATGGGGATTTTCTCTTAAAAAATGTATAATAATGCTATTTTATTTATTTGTCTATTTGAACACATAAATATTGGTACAGAGGGACACAAAATACATGTGCGCCACACAATCCACTTGATTTGTTTGTGGGCTGTGATACTTCCCGGGTGCCCAGACCGAAACGGGTAGTTTTCTTAGGAGACCACACACGGAGCCTTCGACCTTAAGGTCTGATGCACAAGGTAGTGGGGCAATGTCATGAGATGCAGTCCCATGGTAGTCGGTGACAAGCGATTGGTTCATACGCCATTTGTCCTCTCGGGGTACTGGAGCCTATGTACACCACTGGTATGGAATCAGAGTTTTCCAACTCCTCTACGTGAATCCTCCATATCCACCAACCTGGTTAAAGCGCCGGACATTCGCTTTTCATCCTCTCAATTTCGTTAACAACACCCTTGTCTTGAGAAGGCAGTGAGTAAAGCTTCCCTGGTAGTCTTTGTATGTGCATGGTCATGTGAAAGCATTTCGAGAGGGAAAGCTGACTCTCCCCACCCTCGGCAGTATCGGCGCATTTGGGGGCTATGATAATGTTAACTAGTATTATTTGTTTATATCTTAAAATGACGCTATTTGAAGAGTCTCCAACCATTGGTAACGATTGTCACGCGGACCCCAACCATGTAGTCTGCATCTACCAACATGGCTCGGACCAGAATTTAGTGACTTCAAGAACTGATGCCGCATTTGGCTTGGCAGCCCCTAACCTTCTTCCAACCATCCCAAACACTAGTCAGCATTGCGCGTCGTTGTAATCGGTGTTCAAGCAACCATCTCAGTCGATGAAGATTTACAACCTCATCATTCCCCGATATCCTGCATCTAGCCTCACTATTATACACCCGTTGATCTCAGCAGATGCGAGCAACATTTCTAAGGCATCTGTGGTCAAATATTAGTAGCTTACGAATATCTTCAACTCCCAATGGTCACGTTTCGCAGCCATAAAGTAGAACAGAACGAACTACCACACAGTATACTCGTCCTTTTATTGATATATGGACATTTCGCCTTCTCCATAATACGAGTATATGGAGTTATTTAGAATATAAAAAAATGATGAATCCTGTGGTGTACTGTACTCTAAAACGCTACTGAAAGGCTAATTCAGTGTGTTCTTTTTAAATATATGCGATAGTGTCATAAATATAAAGCTTAAGAATTTAGATCCATTGAATCACATTTTATTACAAATATCTTACGAGATAATTGGAAATCATGATTTCAACTGTTAAAATCTCAACTGAGAATTTCATTATATTTACAACAATAAAAATCCTAAATAGTTTAGAAAAACTGGCTAACTGTTATACACAAAGAAAACTATTTAAAATAAACAGTATCATAAAAATAACAGCTTGTGATAGTTGAGACTTCAGATCAAATTAATTAAATGTAATATGTCCAGATTATACACATTCTGAACTTCATAATTCATAAACATATCCTAACCCTTAAGGAAGTCAGCTTAATATTCCAGAAGAGAGTGTAGATTTATATGGTTTTACCAAATAAACCAGTCAGTATCATCATTTATAACCAGTAAATGGTTTCTTTAGTTTCAAGTTTTTAAATTGTAGAAATATTTCGTTACTTCAAAATTTCAATTTTTCAAATTATTTCCACTTGAATATTTCTTTCATTATATGATTGTTTTTCAGATATGGAATATCTCAACTGGTGTATGTTATCATACACTTATTCGACCAATTTATAGAAATAATTTGACAGAAACAGCTGTATTTACTTCATCAGTTTCATGCTTACACTTGGATTATTCACAGAATAGACTTGTTGTAGCTTATCATGATGGTACAGTATTAGCAAAACATTTATCAGCATTTAATCCATTGATAAATGGTCATAACCATGACATCAGCCTTACGAATACTGCTAATAATAATAACAGTAGTATAACGTGGGCATTTTATCCGAGTACGATATATTTAGATGAATACTTATATAAAACTGATTATAAATCGGGCAGTTTAATACGATGTTTAACTGGTGATGCATGGCATATAATATGTGGTTCCGATGATAAATCCATTAAAGTGAGTTTATTGTGAAACAATAATCCTACGTATGTCTAATATCAACCTGTTAACTCATTTACAGTTGGCTGTACATCACTAAGTTAAAATCATATATATTAGTGAGTATTTTGTTTTTAGACCATATTTTTACATTTTTTTTCTTGGCATATTTAAATTAAAGTGTTTGGCTGTTTCTTCAAATGATTCTCATTATTGCAGTTGAATATAAGCTCAATTGTCCAAATGCTTATTTTGATATCGATCTTGGAAAAAAGGTCTAACTACGACCTGTGTTTTTCTTTGATCATTTATAATTTTATTTTAACTTAATAGATCATAACTTGGTAGGATAATAGTTTGTGGGATATTATTGTATTGGTTATTTCAAATTAAAAGTGATTGGTGTGTTCTAATTATCGCAATACATTTAAGGTTTTAAATGCAAAACCTTAAATTCTAACTTACTGATCTCAAAATATCATGTTCGCCGTGATATTTGGCAGTTTTTTGTCACATTTCTTGTTTAACTATGGATGCTTATTATTGATAAGTTTCAGTGTAGGACAAAATTGTTCAGTGGACTTCTCAGCTTTCGTCATTTTCTACATCTAATACTTAATTATTGACGATGATTTGATAAATTATTTGTGAAAAGAATATTCATGTTGGATATGCTAGATCCATAGAACTCACTTGTTAAATGTCTTATTTTTGTAATTATATTTTGGGAATCTGAATTTCTGGTTTTCACGCCAAAAGCGCCCATTTTCACCTTTATATCATATTTCCCATTTGTCAGGACCTTAAATGTCATTAGTTCCTTGTCTCTTTTAATATGCTGTTTTGTAACGTTTCCCAAAGACATTTTAATGATGTATATATACTCTTGAATTGTGCTTGTTGTTGTTGTTCATGCTTCTGGTTGCTTGTGGAATCCATTTTTTCTCTTCTGAACCTGGACTTCTCTCTCTAGTTAGCGGGGCTGAGACGTATTGGAATAATCGGCTCATTTGGTCATCGTGTCGTTGAGTTTTCGTTCCGTTTGTAGACTTAAGTGAACTCGTAATCTCTTCAAACATAGCAATTCAGGATTTCTTTTTCCTAATGTATAAAAATAAAATTGATATTAATCTTGTTGAAATAACATTTAGTTCATTTTCAATATGTTATTCAATCAACTGGCAATGGTTACTGGTTACAGAAACATATTCGGTACAGTGTGAATAATGTGAATTATTGGTCTTGAAATGCGTTTGCATTGCTGAATTGTGTTGCTGTATAAAAGTGAAGCAAATAATAAAAATCTTTTGTCAATGTGTTGTTACAATCTGGTAATAATTACAAAATTATATCCTTATCAACTTCAACTTTATATCACATCTACAGGTTATTCATATATCTGATACATACTCATAAAATGAATTATGATTGATCAAATAGTGATTTAATGAATATATAATAACTTTTTAACTTTCGTGCTCCATTTTAAAACTGAAAACAGACCACAATACGCTGAAAATTCATATTTATATATGTAGAATAATATATTGTTTGAGCAGTCATTTTCAAACGCTCCTTCACTTACTTTTGTACTTTGATCTAAAGTGGATTCTGGCCAATTTATATATCGAATATGGGCCTATTCACTTGGCTTTTGTATGTAAACTAATGGTATTAAGGTTATTTTGCTTTTCTTTGTCTCATTTTACTGGATCTTAGATTTATAACTATTTATTAATTTGGTTTATATTTCTACTTAACGCTTATCCACATTTTTTATTCTAATCCGAATGTTTTGTACCTGTCCTTTTATTGAAATACAAAACTACAAATTTTGTATTCTTCTATAAGTCTCTTTCATTTTGTCAAGCATCTCTAGTTGTGGAATATCATAGCTGGTTTTTACAAACTAATACGAGCACAGATTACTTACAAAGAGTTATACATTGTAAGAAAAGGGAGAATACTGTAAATACATTTAACTGTCATCAGCTTATGACCCAAAAAATATCAATGTCCTTAATTATCCAGCACACTAATTATCAATTGCTTTTAATCATGGTTAGATAATTTTCACACTTAAATGTGGATACTAGATAAAATAATAGAATTTTCACTGTGTTAAGTTACTAATAATATCATCAAACCCGACTTCATACAACAAATTACCGTAAATTTTTCGTCTTCATGATAACTTGTATTTCTGTTATGCTTCTGCTAAGTAACTTTCTACTTATTCTGTTGTTACACCGTTTGTTCTTGCATTCGTTGTAAAGTTGGATATTGGTAATTCAATTAATCGAATTTATGTGTACCCCTTTTACGAATCTATCACATCACCTCTTTCTGAACCACCTCCCACCAAGATTTCTTATACATTTTCTAGATTGTTCTTCTAATTAGGTACATACATCTAAATTCATAGATAACCTTTGTCGTTTCAAGTCGTCGTAGATACTCGCTTCAGTTTCTCAATATCATTCTGTCTTTCAACAAACGTTTTGTTATAGTATATGCTATTTATACGGATAGATAAAAGTATTATGTATCAGGAATTGAAAATAGGATTCTTACCGAAGTGAAAAGTGGAGAAAGAAAAAAGTAGTCAGATTAAAAATATGAATGGAAGGACATTGAAGTTTATAAGATACAATTCAAGGCAAATGTCTGAATTATGTCTTCACAATGTATGTTTTTCATATTTTAGAAATGCAGTGTGTGATTTTGCTTGATACAATAAATTGGTTCATCCTACCCAAATCTTTGTTCATTACTTTGGTAATTCAATGAAAACTTTTTAGAGTTGTCTAGAATTTACAAAATATAGTGAGTTCATAATAATTTTGTTCAAACATTTTCCCTGATTTTACTTATACTTTTGTTGTTTTGTTCTTTTTTCTTTACCATAACTTAGGTTTGGCAAGTAGGTGATAATAAATTTGTCCATAGTTTACAAGAACATGAAGATGGTGTAACATGTGCTGTGATATCAGGTTCTGTAATTATTTCTGGTTCTTATGATAAAACTGTCATACTTTATGACTTTGATGTAATTTAAGTAGTTTATTATTATTGACAGTTTTACGTGTTATCATATCATCTGGTCATTCGACACCTTTTTTGACCTATTTAATCTTTTCTTATTGTAATGGGTCTTTCTCGAACAATCTTTTCTTCTTTTATCTCACATTTATTCTTTGTTTCAATGGTCACTATAAACTGGATATCGTAGTTGGTAGTAGTATTTCATTGATTTTATTTTACCTTGTCACTGTATTTTCTCCCTATATATATATATATATATATATATATATATATATATATATATATATATATATATATATATAGGGAGAAAATACAGTGACAAGGTAAAATATATATATATTATGAATTTGAGCGATTCCCATCCCTTCAGACTATGTTGTTTTGATTTTTTAAGTATTTTTTTCGAAAATGTTACTGAAGTTCGAACTTTAAAAATAATATATTCTATTCTTGATAGTCTGTCACAAAATAAACAAGCTATCATTTTATTATGTAGGACATACTCCGAATTTCCTTTTGTTTTGAGCATTTTTATAATATTTATTAATTTCACTTCATTGTTGACTTTATTACTTATTGTAAGTCTTTGTTTAATAAAATTTCTTCATGTCGTGTTTTGAATACCTTAGTTTAATTATTCTGATATGTTTATTGTTCCGTTATAATTGAAGTGATATGTTAAATAGTCCGATATAGTCGTGTAATTGTAGATAAGACTGGGTTTACTAAAGAATTATGAACACGTCAGTTATTCGCATCAATTCAACTATCTGTTCAATGTTATTAGCATTATAATTATTAGACTAGGATCAGTATATAATAATACAGGTGTCGATTTCTGAAGTTTCCACCTATCTTTTACACCCTATAAAAAACCTGTTTCCAAATCGGATATTTGTAAGTGATACACATTTAGTTTGTGTTTTTCAAAGGACTATAATGATTTACCTATATTCTAAGAAGGCAACACTCAAAACTATACGAAAGATTTAACCTTCAGTGTTTCGAACATAGATCAAAGCTACTCTCTCCGATATAATATCTACAAGAGACCTGGATTTATGCTTAGAAGAAATGTAGGTTCAAATAGTGGATTGCAATTGCATGGAATTTTTATGTGCTTACCAATAATATAATTCATTTGTTTGGATTAAGGGTTAATCGATAAGTTTTTTAACTTCAGTTCTAGGGCCCATTTACGTACATATATCATGCCTTGGAAGAATTTCAGTCCTCAAGTAAGTAAATAATAATCCTCATTGTGGGCAATTTGTGCGCGCTACTGTTATAAGCAACTTTTATCGGCCGTTTGAATACTCTGAGTTTCTCCAAATACTTAAGTATATGTGATAATTAGGATCATTTGAATTAATTTGGAATCCCGACCATCCAACAGTGCAGTAGACTTTGGTTTAAATGATTAACAGATTTCACTGCTGTTTCCACAGCTGTTTGTATATCTTTCCAAGCAATATCCGAGTCAGCCTCTTTTTCAGAACTACCTACTTATGACGTCAGTTGTTTCTGTATTACCTTGACTAACATAGCATCTAAAATACTGGCCTCAATAATTATCGAGCGCCTAACTAAAACTCGTGAACTGCAAACACGAGAAAATCAGGCTGGCTTCAGACCTGGTCGTGGCTGCACCGACCACCTATTTACCATTCGTCAGGTTCTAGAACACAGACATGCTTATGGACGTTAAATGGACATTTGCTACTGGTCAATATTTATTTCACTTGTTAAATATTGTGTTAATGTTGTTTTCTATTTTATGGTACGATGCCGTTTCTTTGGTTGGTATATAAACAGAGTATGTCTGAAATATAATGATTCATATCTCAGAGGCTGTGACTTGCATTCTGGACTCAACTGGCTGGGATAGACAGGGAAACATGGCCGATCGGGACTCCAGGTCGTTCATTACGTGTTTTCCGTGTCACACACTGAATCGGTCGATATAAACGCTGCTTATCAAAACCTCATCCGTTGCAACACTAACTAAGACTCGTGAACTGCAAACACGAGAAAATCAGGCTGGCTTCAGACCTGGTTGTGTCTGCATCGACCACATATTCACCATTCGTCAGGTTTTAGAACACAGGCATGCTTGTGGGCGTCAGACAATGATAATTTTTCCTAATTTAAAAGCAGCATTTGACTCTGTAGACCGAGCGGTTCTGTGGCAGTGTGTGTCATTGGAAGGCGTACCTCAGAAGTAAATAAACCTTGTGAAGGCTCTTTACTCGAACACCACTAGTCGAGTCAGTGATTATGGAGAACGGTCATCAGATTTCGTAACCTCAATTGGTGTTCATCAAGGCTGTCCACTTTCTCCATTTTTGTTTAAATTCATCATAGACCTACTGATGGAACTAACGTTCTCGTCGACTGAATTCTCGGGTATTGAGCTCCTTCAGGGAGGTCTACTTATCGACTGGTTGGTATTACTTACTTTCACTTCTAGTGTGTTTCTTACTCAAGTACTTTGTGAATAAGTTAACTAAATTAACTTTAAAATTGCTTAGCCAAGAATTATTCCAGTGTTTTTCTGTTCATGAAGTTTAGTATACTAACAGTTCACAAAGTAGGGGCTTTGTTACAATACAATTAGTCCTCATACTCCCTTAATATGATTTAGGTATAATTCGACTTAGAATACTCAGATGATATAATCCTGTTTGGTGAAGACGCTCATAAAATGCAGAGTCTTTTGGTAACACTGAGCAACAATGCCAGAATGTTTGGAATGCCCTTCTCTCCCTCTAAATGCAAGTTGTTGCTTCAGGACTGGTCTGCGTCAACACCTGAAGTAAGAATAGGGAGTGAAGTAGTTGAACGCGTTGACAACTTCACTTATCTTGGAAGTCTGATCAGCCCTAATGAGTTGGTGTCTGACGAAATCTCAGCACGGATTCGAAAAGATCGCTTGACTTTTGCCAACTTACGTCACCTATGGCGAAGGCGAGATATCCGTCTATCAATAAAAGGACGAGTATACTGCGCGGCAGTCCGTTCTGTTTTACTTTACGGCAGCGAAACATATCCATTAAGAGTAGAAGACACTCGTAAGCTACTAATATTCGACCACACATGCCTCAGAGATGTTGCCGGCGTCTGCTGGGATAACCGGGTAAGTAATAGTGAGGTTAGACGCAGGGTATTAGGAAATGATGGTAAATTAGTTGATGAGGTTGTGAATCTTCATCGACTGAGATGGTTGGGCCACGTGTTACGTATGCCCGAACACCGATTACCACGATGTGCAATGCTAACCAGTGTTTGGGACAGTTGGATGAATATTAGGTGCTGTCAAACCAAAACGTGGCATCAGTGCTTGAAGTCACTAACTTCTACCCTGAGCCATGTTGGTAGATGCAGACTACTTGGTTGGGGTCCGCGTGACTATCGTTACCAGTGATTGAAGACTCTTTTGTCTGCCCTTGAAGTTTGAGATTAAAGTTGCTTTATGTCATTCTTTCTACCAACTACTTCTTCCTTCCTGTATTATTTACTTTACAAAATCTTTCCGTTTAGCATTCCGAATTTTTCGTATAGTCTTGAGTATGCATCTAAAGTATCTATGTGTTTCTCTCTTGTGATCTGCTTATCTCATCGGTAAAGGTTGTGTAAGGTTCAATTTGATGGTTCTGTGTGTGAAAATTCCTTCATGTATACACTTGTAATATATTCTTACTGATTCCTCAAGTTGTACATTTTGTTAGTCTTTTTTATTTCGTTTCAGATTCTAATATTTGTATTTTACCATAGTTTTTTCTTGCGTTGTAACTGAGTTTTAATGTTTCCTCCTGAAATGCATTTATTTTGTTTTAGATGATACTTAGTCTAAGCGGCAGCCATATTAGTTTGTTCCTCATTTGATTGTGCTGAGTGGAATTGTATATTTTTGATTGTGAATCGAAGCACTCTTTCAGAATAAGAAACAGTTTGTGTTATACACCAACCAGATATTATCTTCCGATCGAATCTGTACGTGATCTATCCAGAAAGGATAGAATAACATTTTTTTGTTGCCTTGGTAATTTTTTATATCTTTTATCAATTTGTTTATTTATTCTAATTTTGATTTGCACACTGGTTGAACAATTATTGGTTGAATGACTGAGTGGTAATATTTGCTTAGACAATGATGTATATTTATATTTATAATTAAATCTAGAACTTTCACTTGCCCAATCACTTATTTTGGATTCAACTCGGTAGTAGCGCGTATCTAAACTACTTACACAGTCATTTCTCAGTTCAAACCTTAGTTTGGATTCTACAGGTTGCACTAAAAAACAATCTGAATTATTACCAGGTCCGTTTTGTGGTGATTGTCGAGGAATATTGTCAACGTGTTGAGTTTGTTTGACACTCCTGTGCTGAACCGTATAGTCATATGAACTCAAAGCAATACTCCATCGTTGAACCATAGCAGCTGAGGAACGTGCTGAAGACTTTTCAGGATGATAAATAAATTTTAAAGCTTCATGGTCAGTAACAATAGTGAATTTTTTTTCGAATAAATATTTATGAGGTCTTTTATCAGCCCAAAACACAGCTAATGCTTTTAGCTGAGTCTGCGAATAACCTTGTTCAGTAACAGTAAGTGTGCGTGAAACACATAACTGGTCTAACTTCCTGTTCCAAAACTGCTCTAATACCAAAGGGCGGTGCATCATTAATAAGCACAGAATGTACACTAGGGGACTAAGTTCGATGAACAGCATCATTTTGAAGAAACTTTAGTAGACTTCGTAAGCATGACTCTTGTTACTCACTCCATTTGAATGAATTGGATGTCAAAATATTAAATAAACAATTTGCACAACAAGAACAACTAGGAATTAAACGGGAATAGTATTGAAAAATACCCACTGGTGAACGTACTCCTGTAAGGTTTTTTGAAGATGTTGCATTTTTCGGTAAAGCTAGTCGTTTCATATCTGGTCTAAAACCATTACCATCAACTAGGTATCCAATAAATTCAAAGGTAGGTAAACAAAATGAATAGTTATTTGGATTCACTGTAATATTCTTCTTAATTAAATGACGCAATAAAACGATGAGTCCATCGTCATGAACTACCTTATCAGGACCATGAACAATGAGATCATTTTGATGAACGTCAGTACCCTCAAGGTCACAAGCTACCTTATTCTGAAATATGACTGGAGAACAACTTAGACCAAATGGAAGACAGTTGTATTTGAACAGGCCAAAAGGAGTGTTAACTGTCGTCAAAATAGATGAGGATTGAACTAAAGGGACTTGAAGATAATCATCCTTGAATTCACTTTTCGAGAACACTTTAGAACCATGAAGTCGATTAAGAATATCTTCAGCCTCTACGGTCGTGCACGTTTGCTTCAACAAACATGAATTCAATGTTTATCTATAGTCACCGCATATTCTAGAGGTCTTGCTATCCGATTTCAGTGGCGTAGCAATAGGAGTACTCCATGCTGAAGACTGAATCGGTTCAATTGTGCCTTTCGTAAAGAAATCGTTTAATATCTTTTTTACGGCTTCTCGAAGGCCAATAGGAATTATTCGTCTTTTTGGAAAGACTAAGTCACCCTGTACCTGAAGTTTTATAGGCTGAATTTTCATACCTCCACTGCACTTAGCACACGTAGCTATCAAATCTTTAAGTAAAGCATCAAAATTTTGATTAAAAACTAGTAAAGCTAACTCCACTTTAGGCATTTTCGAAAGCTTTAAACCAAGTATTGACAGTCCTGTTTCGCTAACTAGAAATTCACGTATGTAGAATTATCATCTCTTATCAGCAATTCACTGCATCCTCGTATGGCCACATTATCTCCAGTAAACGCCAATATCGTTCATTCATTGGGGCGCATCATAACTTTAGTACCTAAAGTTTTCAAATTCTTAGGTAAAATAGTGAATTCTATGGTTCACAAAAAAGTCATTAAATGAGCCAAGCGATGTACATAATCGCCTTTGAATATGAACATTATGTTTCGAAATGGCGGATGAAGATAAAAAATCATTAAGAATATTCAAGTTTATAGGACCAGAGTTACGAAGCTTGGCATTACTTGCAATGCATTGAATAGAAGTATTGCCAACTGCCTGTATATTTCTAATCATTTATCACATTTAAAGCACTAAGCATTACGAAATGCACATGGATGGATGAAAACTTCCAAGGAAAAAGTATTGAGAAAACTTGTGCTCACCTTGTGACAGTGCTTAGCAAATTCGCAATGAATTGTCAACTGAATGACGTTGATTAATCATTGGATTGGTCGTTGTAATGAAGTAGTGGAATTCGTGATGCCCTGACGAGTTATTTAATGAAGCATTCCCTTTTTATCGCATTCAAAATACATACCATTTACATGGTCTTGTAATAGTTGCTTGAGAATTGTATAAAGGAGTGAAATAGGCTTTTCTGTAAATGTGAGTTTTTAATAAAGTGTAGATTTCCTTTCGGATGAATGTGAGTAAATGATCCTCAGTGATAAGATCATCAACCTCTCCCTTGGTCTTAGTGCTGATTTCGAATCCTCAAGAGCATCAAAATCTGAATGTATTTCCAATTGTTCCACCATAGGATCTTTATCTCATAGAAAATGTGATAGTTTGAACTATTTGAATTATAGTATAAACTAGAAATCCCAGAAATAATGCATATCGAATGATTAGGCGTCTATTGAGTTAGATGGAAATAGTGGGAATAACAGCTAGCTGCGAAGTCGCACTTCGCGGTCAGCACCTAAAGTAGATTACTCCGTCGTATCAAGGTACTATGAATGCTTTGAAGACCGCAAGATACAACGGATGTTATTAAACAAAATAGTAGTTGAAGTAGGCACAATCAAATGTGCGATCGCTACCTCGTTGGTCAGTCCATGAAGTGAGATTAAACAGTGCCTGTTTGTTGTCCTTAGATTTGACGGGGATTGATGATCTGTTCAACATTCAGTGACCCAACTGACGGATGATTTGGCGATGGATCATTGACATTTCACTGGCCATACACAGTCATCACTATTACTTCAGGAGATTAAAAGCTGTAGTGGTGAATAAATTAGAAAAATAAATGGTCGTTTATGTCGTTAACATTGTTGCCGACATAATTGGTCACACCATAGTTGTAGGCGTACGGTAACACACACTCACCAGACAATAAGTGGGTACACCGTGCTACATACGCCTTTTGGTTACAAGCCAGCTTAGACCGGATGCTTATCAACCCATCGACAACCTCCCAAATATATCTTCGAACCCCTTCATCTACGGTATCCAGATGAAATGTGTTGGCACCTCTTGATCACAAATGTGTCATCGACGAAAGCGTTGTCAAACCCTGAAGACCCAATGTATGTTCCACATCTTAGCTTGGAGATTATTATTCAATGAACACTGTACAGACCTATGAATTTGATTGCCGAAATCGCTACGCTGTTGAGTTGTATAGCAAAAATACGAGGTAGATCGTGTAAAAAGACATTTCGATACTGACATTTCATACGACGATCCTACGCTTAGAGAATGGTTGAAAACTGGAATTAACCTCTCTTATAATTCCGTGACAAATTTCAAAGGAGTTTCTGTTAATGATCTTCACAAATGTCATGGTGACCAGTTGGCGGGAGAACAAATGTCAATAACTTCACGCTTGAAAAGTGTTAATACGAGACATAAAGAGATCGACTTTAAAGCTGATAAAAATGGTTTAAGAAATACCGTTTTTTCAGTTAATGGTGATAAATACATAGGTGAATGGAAACACAACAAGCGTCATGGTACGAAACCTATTTTCAATCATATTATGCATTAATGCGCGTTTCCGCATTATTTTCCAAGGCATTTACCCCTTTGTTCGTCTTTATTTCCCCTTCCTTGGCTGCTTGAGCGTATAGTAATATTATATATATGTATACGATGTACGCTTTGAATGTTGATGACCACAAACTTTTGTTTTAAAATCGTAGTGCCACATAGTTCTTACATATAAGAACTATGTGGCACTGCGATATACTGTGTTAAAATAACTGGATTAATTCTAATTCATATAGACTGACCAACCTATTTGAATTTCAACAAGTCCTTTTGATATACAGTTTACGGAAGGTGTTGAATTTTAATAGAGTGCATCAAGGACTAATTATTGTTGAACGACCATTGAAAACTAGGAAGAACTAAACAGATGCTTGGTGTAGTACAGAATTAAGCAGTGCACAAACACAACTACACAGGTGAGATTACCAAAGAATTTTGGCCTCATAACCAGCGTTTGACTTCCAAACACCCATTCCAGAATCCATTAGATTCGATGAATAACTTCAATGTACTCACGATCTGACCCAAATGTTCATAGAGAATCGACTAACGTTAAACATATAGACCATTAGATACTGTCTTAGTTGCCTCAGGTTGTGTTGCGCGTTGCACGGCCGACAATCTTTGGCTGGGCTGTCGACGGGTATTCCTGATAAGTCTCTTACTAGGATAGAACAACTGTCCAATGTTTGGTGGTCTTTCAAATAAAATCAATCCGTGATTTAAACTACTTGTCGGTTGATAATTACAAGCAAAGTGTTTTGAAACCTTTCATGCACACAGTCGCCTTAATTAGTGTAAAGTTTCTGTATATTCGGATTCGATATGTCAAACAGCGTCTATAGCTTCGAAAACTAGCATTGATGTTTAAACAGGAAAATTGACCTATCATACCTAAAGTAACCGAATTCTTGCAAAATTTTCAGTGTCAATTTAAATCACACACCATACAATACGAGTGTTCTCATAAAATCAAATGTACCATTAGGTTGATTTCTGGTGACTGTATGACGTAAAAAAACATGAAATATTACTTTGTCTGAACTACATGTTCAATTTAAATGTGGAACTACTTGGCAAAAGCATGTAGTTACATGTTCGTGGACACTTGAACTCCCTTCATAATGACCCTACTCGCCTTTATGTAAATATAAATAGTTCCTCTTGCAGAACACTTGAATTCACAGGCTTTAAAAATTTGAATATATTCTTGAAATAACTTCTGAAGCATACAAAATCTCTTCTTTTGATTTACACTTCCATTTATCGGTAAATAATACAAATAACCCTCAGTTGTGCTAGGTTCATTATTACGTACTAACTCGTTCGGTATATTATTCTATTAGTACAATAATGTATGTCCCAATTGATCTTTATCCATTCAAACTCTTTTGCACGAAATAAAAAGGTTTGCATTAAACAGGTTTCGGCATATACGAATGGAAAAAACCAAACCTTGTTTATGAAGGTAATTGGGAGAACAATATGCGTAGTGGATCTGGTGTTTTGAGTAGGAAATTTAGGAATGGGAAACAAATAAATGTTTACTCAGGATCCTGGAAATACGACAAACGCCATGCAAGTTGTTCTAAACGTCATTAACATTTTTTCAAGGGTTATGGAAACAACTGGTATTCAGATAATAAAATATACGAAGGTGAATGGTACGATGGAAAACGTTCTGGATGGGGAAGAATGTACTACCCTGATGGAAGCATTTATGAGGGACAGTGGTTGAATGATAAACGACATGGAGATGGGATGCTTAGATTGGGTAACTTGGATCAATATATGTAGAGATTTCAGCAAATGAAAATAGATTTGAAGGACAGTGGTTAAATGACAAGAAGAACGGAGTAGGGAAATATTTCTTCCTTAATACTGGCCAACTAATGGAGGGAATATGGTGTGATGATGTACCAAAATCTTCCCAAATTCTGGATCTCGGAAGGCAAGTAGCGAAAAGTCCAACGGAGTCCGAAATACCAGAGGTAGAATTTGATTTATAAATACTCTCTGATAACAATATTACAATAATTTCATGTTTTCAGATATAGGAAAAACGAATGATTAAAGAAGTAAATAATATATTGAGTGAACTAAGAACATAGACTACATCCGGTTTCAGAATAGATTATAAGGTGATTGCAACAAATTGTTGATAGACGTAACACGAAAAGTAGTTACGAAATCGTGAGGTAATGATAGTAATACCTATTATACACTGAGACATATACGAAATGAATTGAGTCAGAATGAAACAAAGAACATCATGAGTTATAAGTGAGAATATATTTCATACCATTTGCAATCAAAAAGCTTGACTTTTACGAACAAAGTCAGCAGAACCAACGTTAATTATATATGATAGTTACTACAAGACACGAAGAGACAAACCTTTTAAACTGATAATACTTTGGTTCTATTGAAGGAATTATCTAACATTTTTTTAACAGATTCACATAGACTGTTATTTGTATAAGTTGACCACGTCACAACATTAGTGAGTTCGATTATCTCAAAACTTCAACTAAAATCAAGTGAGATTTAAAACCTGAATAAAGAACACAACTAAAATATCTCTTTCGAGAATATAATCTTGTGTAGTGAAGCAGTATACACCACACAACATTAATGGAAACGTTTAACGTAAAAGATCTTAGTAATCTGCGCGAAATTTCATTAACCACACCAAATGTGAGTTATTTTTCTAACGTCGCATATCAAACCGTTGTTCATAATACTAGGGACACTTTGATGATAATTGATAAACCATCTATGACCAATGCATTTGCAGTAAGTTCATGTTATACACCTCATTCGTTCACTGATGAAAATCGCATTTGGTTTTGCGGTCAGAACAAGTATGCAACTAGATTAGCCTTAAAATGCAAACAGAAATGAATATATACGAGATACAGGACCGACAAAGTTGTCAATCAAACAATGGAATACTAGATAAAATGATCTGACTACATTCCCGACCGAAGCTGCTACCTTGAGGCGGTGGTCGGGCTTGCCTATCGTGATGACCCAACCGAGCTATATTGACTGGAACATATGTTCCTGTAGGTTCTACCATGCCAGGCAGGTCGATTGGAGAACGGTAAGACTAAAATCACCAAATCAAGGTCTGAGGGCGAAGTTGTACTGCTGACTGTAGAGAGATGTGACAGCAGTAAGGTGTTTCCCTCGGACAACCAGCATCTGCAGCGATGCTACCTTCCCACAAGAAGGGGTGGGGTTAGAAAAGGTCGACCCTAAAAATGTCACACCTCATCTTATCTCACGGATTTCCGTCTCTGGCGGTAAGGCCTTTTGAAGAACGAAGCTAGCATACTAAAAACCTCCCACAGAAAGTCCGTGCGCGGCCGGCCTCAAGCAGTTGTCCCTTGGGCTCTGCGGTCACGCTCCCAGGTCGTCAAGACCAACACTAATCCAATTTCCTTTTCAGGTTCATCAAGAAATACCCTTCCACGGTGTGGGCAGCCGGAAAGTGATATCAGCTTTCATACCCGTAACAGCACACGAGACCCAGTTGGTCACATTCAAATCCTTCCTACACCTCTTAATACCTCTCTTATCTCCATGACTAACCCTCCTCACGTCTCTTTATCACCTCGCACCGCTAGGACAAACGATTCGAGTACGTGGAACGCTATTCCTGGTCTCCTGATACCACGCTCTAAACTACACGTAGGAGCTTTTAACGTACGAGCACTTTGCCAAATGGGACAGCAGGCTTCCTTAGCTAGGACTTTAGAATCTCCGCCATCGATGTGTGCTACGTCTCCGAAACGCGCATACAGGATCCGAGTAGCGTCATTCATTTGACCTCACCATGCCAAAATAAAGAACCGACTCGATTTACGCTTCGTGTATCTGGAAGCCCAGATTCTGCTTCCCGTGGACTCGCCGGCGTAGGTATAGCATTGAGTCCTAGGGCAGAACTAGCTCTCTTAGAGTGGATCCCAGTAGACAGCCGTTTGTGCGCCGTCCGACTGAACGGAACAGTAAGAATCCGGAAAGATAGGGACACTCGTCGTTGCCTCTTCGTCGTTTCTGCCTATTCTCTCACTGACTGCAGCTCAGATGATGTAAAAGATGAGTTTTACAGAAAGCTCTCCGACCTCCTCCTAAAAGCTAGGCGCTCTGATGTAGTAATAGTGGCCGGTGACTTTATTGCTCAAGTAGGTAAACTAAGCGATAGGGAAGGACACCTAGGTGGCTCAAAGAACAGATAATGGCGATCGTCTGTTGCAGCTATGCTCAGATAACCGACCGTTCCTTGCAAACACTAACTTGAAGCATAAGGAAAAACATCTTTTAACATGGCGACCCCCTAATTCGTCCCAACGTTGGACCCAAAAAGATCACATCGCTATCAGCCACCGATGGAGGGGCTCGATGGAAGACTGTCGCTCATTCTGGAGCACGTGCCTAGATTCAGATCATGCTCTAGTACGAGCGCGTATTTGCCTGTCTTACTGGACGTAGGAAAGACGCTGCAAAGAAACCTCTTAGGGGCCTAGTTAATGATAGTCAAGCTAAGAGTATATTTCAGGAACAACTAGGAAAACTGTTAGGAAGCCATGTATGTGATGCCCACCCCGATGCAGCATGGAATGATATCTTAAAAGCTGTGGAAACAGCAGTGATATCTGCAAGTACGGTAAACCACAAGGTTAGGGAGAAACACTGAATCTCAACAGCATCTACCGCACTGATAGATGCTCGGAAACTCATTCCATCTGGCTCTGAACATAACGAAGAGCGGAGTCAGCTTAAGCGCAAACTGACAAGAAGCCTACGCAATGATCGCGAACAGTGGTGGGTAGCGAAAGCAAGAGAGATGGAAAAGGCAGCGGCAATAGGTAATAGCAGACAACTGTTCAGACGTGTTAGGGAAACCGGTATTAAGAACCCAACTGTTAGCGAAACTATCTCGGTAAAAGATGGACACATTATTCATTCTCAATCCAGGAGATTGGATCGATGGGCAGAACACTTTAGTGATCAGTTCAACTGGCCTTCAGCCACACTTCGGTTTTCCACGATCTCCAGTCCACCTGAATGGCAAGTTAGTGTAGGTCCTCCAACTCTTTACGAAGTTGAAAAAGCCATAGGAAATCTGAAACGAGGGAGAGCAGCAGGCCCTGACAGGTTCATTCCTGAGATTTTTAAGGATGGCGGTCCAGTATTAGCACTGAGATTAACCGAGGTCTGAGGTAGAATTTGGGAACTGGACGTAATCCCATCTGACTGGTCTCAATCACTGATTGTGCCAGTCTATAAGAAAGGACGAAAGTGCTCTTGTGACAATCACAGATGAGTCACTTCGACTAATATAGTGTCTAACATATTAGCTTCAATAATACTTCGACGTCATTGAAAGGAGTACCAAAGTACATTAACCTTGTAAAGGCTCTCTACTCGAGCACAACTGATCGAGTGAAAGCTTATGGCGAACTGTCATCAGAATTGATTACCTCAAGTGGTGTTCGTCATGGCTGTCCACTCTCCCCATTCTTGTTTAACTCTGTCGTTGACATGCTTTTAGAGATGACACTCTCCTCATCTAAATTTCCAGGGGTTGAACGTCTACGAGGAGATTCACTTTTTGACCTAGAATATGCTGATGACATAGTTCTATTTGATGAAGACGCTGACAAAATGCAGAGTCTTCTGACCACTCTAAGCAACAATGCAAGCATGTTCGAGATACGATTCTCTCCCTCGAAATGCAAAATGTTGCTTCAGGATTGGGTTACATCGACACCCGAACTAGTGATAGAGAGTGAAGTAGTTGAGTGTGTCGACCGCTTCACTTACCTTGGAAGTCTCATCAGCCCTTGTGGTCTGGTATGTGACGAAATCTCAGCACGGATACAGAAGGCTCGACTAGCTTTTGCTAACTTGCGTCATTTATGGCGTAGGCGAGATATCCGTCTATCAATCAAAGGACGTGTTCACTGCGCAGCAGTTCGTCCCGTCCTACTTTATGGCAGTGAAACATGGCAGGTAAGAGTGGAGGATATTCGTAGGTTACTAGTATTCGATCATAGGTGTCTTCGAAACATTGCCCGTATATCATGGGACCATCGAGTAAGTAACACAGTTGTTAGGAAACGGGTACTAGGTAAGGATGGCAAATCAATTGATGAAGTAGTGAAACTTCATCAGTTGAGATGGCTGGGTTACGTGTTACGTTTGCCCAACGACCGACTGCCTCGACGTGCGATGTTGAGTGGTATAGGAGTAGGTTGGGAGAAAGTTAGGGGCGGCCAAACCAAAACATGCCACAAATCCATAAAGTCACTGACAAGTGGACTGAGTCATGTTGGTAGGTGTAGACTACCTGGTTGGGGACCACGAGATGATAGCAACCGATGGTTAGAGACCCTGAATGACATGGCTCGAAATCGTTTGCAATGGCGCAGGTACATCTACTCATTGTGTTCTCCCAAATTCTAATCTTCTGAATTCTTCATGTCCCTTTTTTCCTCTTTCCAAATTTATTTCACTGGATTATACTCTTTAAATAACATCTCCAAACCCTAATCTTCCCGATTACTGCTCATACTCTTGCTACCTCTACCACTACGGGATTTGAATCGACAACTGCATCTCTGTGCTAATGTGATGTGGCAACTCGAACTGATGTACGTACGTACGAAGTTCTACGTTGTTACTGACTCACTCTGATTACATTATTATTGAACAGAATACTTCCTGAGGCCCACTCATAACTGACAAGATACATCTTATTATATAAAACACCTAATTAAATACTGCTGATACGTAAATCACGTTCACGAACCCATATATATGTGAAACATATTACTAGATATTAGTTCAATGACTACTACAGTAAACGGCTCCAATCGTTTGTGAAGTCTTAACCTCAACCACGCCAGGAGGAGAGGTTGTTACCCAATGATATTGGAAAAATTGGAGACATTCCAATCTTCGATAGATTTCCCCTATTCCACTGCTTAGTCTCAAATCACATATTACTATAAGAAATAAACACCGGCAAAGCATTGTTTATCACGAACCAACTGATTTTAGTAATCACTCCTTAATACGTATATTTTATTTTCAGATAAAATTAAAAGACCCTAATGGTATCCTCAAGAAAGTGCAAGAGAAGCTGATGGAAATAATACGTACCAACAACCCAGAGAGTTCCTGAGGGCAAAACCAAAACAAACTGAGCATATTTTGTTATACTTGGAACTGAAAAGCAGTTGTACAATCATCTTACTTTGCACGTACACACACCAATATAATAATGAGGAAACTAACAGCATATAATTTATTCAGAAAATATAAACGCAAGATTACAAAGCTTAAAAATACAGTAAATTGATAAACAAATATACAAACTCTACAAAGTAAATAATAACATAAATGAAAAATGCATTAAAAAAGACTGGAAAATGTAGTGGTAATAATAGATGTTGTGTAAATGCGATTTTATAAAGTGGAACACCGAACAATTTTAAGTATACATATCAAAAACGAAACTCATTAAAAACTGTTAGGTAGAATTATAGTACAACACATCTTTTTAACAATTTGTAATACACACGACTACTGATTATTCATTCGAAATCTTCTATTTGAAGTGGCTGTTTTATACTATGAGCCTCAGGGAAGCGTAAACAATATTTATTATCCCGTAAGAACTTTACAGTCAACAAACGACCTATGAAGAAAGAAAGAAAGAATGACAACAACAAATGAGAACGGGCACATTATTTCATTGTTGCAGTGCCTAAATTTATATAAGCAGAATGAAATGTGGACATAAATATACACATATCTTTTTAGCTTAAATGGATGTATGAGGTTACGGAAACAAAGAACCCCAAACAAATAAATTACAAAATATAACCAGTAATTAGGTAAATCAGAAGAATACACTGGATGCTTTTAGTAAACAAGCATAGTCTGATCTTAATAAGCAAGCTTTATAATATTACCCTTCTAATCAAAACGAAAGTAAAAACTCCAGTCCTGCTATTACACCAAATAAAACAATGAAAGAAAATAAGAAAAGTGGATAACCAAGAATTAATATGACTAACAAAGAAAACATTGCATATTGTTGACAATAAAGACATTAATAAAAACATTAATTTAGATCGCTGTGCATACAGTTAGGTTAATCAGTTACATAATACGCTTAGATTTTTATAGTCATAATCTAGTATTAACTGAGATGAACAATTAGACTTAACAAATAAGTAGACATCATTGTTTCATAAAGCCGAGAAATTCGGATATCGATATAGTAGCATAATTTTAGGATCGTCGCTACCCATCACTATTCACGATCATTGCGTAGGCTTCTTGTCAGTTTGCGCTTAAGCTGACTCCGCTCTTCGTTATGTTCAGAGCCAGATGGAATGAGTTTCCGAGCATCTATCAGTGCGGTAGATGCTGTTGAGATTCAGTGTTTCTCCCTAACCTTGTGGTTTACCGTACTTGCAGATATCACTGCTGTTTCCACAGCTTTTAAGATATCATTCCATGCTGCATCGGGGTGGGCATCACATACATGGCTTCCTAACAGTTTTCCTAGTTGTTCCTGAAATATGGTCGACCTATTTATTAATATTGTTTATCTTTGTTTTTGTATATAACCTAATGGACACCTCATATGATACTCGGTTTTAACCAAATTATCACCAGCAACTTTACCATCTATATATATATATATATATATATAAGAGTGATTAGCAATAACGAGCTAAGTAATTGTCACCAAATGCCCTGTTACAGCCGAGAGTGGGGAGAGTCAGCTTTCCCTCTCAAAATGCTTTCACATGACCACGTAGATACAACCATTGCCAGGAAAGTTTTGCTCATTGCCTCCTCGCGACGGGGGTGTTGTTTACGAAATTCAGAGGACGAAAATCCAATGTCCGGTGTTTTAACCGAATTAGTGGGTATGGAGAATCCATCTAGAGAAGTTGGAAAACCCTGATTCCCAACCAATGGTGTACATGGGCTCCAGGATCCTGACTGAACAAATGACGTATGGACCAATTATTGGTCACCGGCTACCATGGGACTACATCTCTTGACGTTGCTCCACTACCTTGTGGATCAGACCTTTAGGTCGAAGGCTCCATGTGTATACATTCCCTATTTTCCTTTAAACTATAATATTAAAATCGCTTCATATCTTTCTACGTACTAATTCTTTCTTCCTGTACTATGTCCTTATACGCAATCTTTCTTTTATATATTAATGCCACGGAATAAACTAGTTCTCTGATTCCGGTGTTTATCTTGCTGTGCTAATGAGGTATGGCAACTCGGACCGATACATATATGTCTGGTCCAAAGTTGTATCTAACTGACTGACTTTGTATCAACATTTATGTTCAAATAAATAAACAATAAATATATGAAATTTAGTACTATAGTAAAAAAAACTTGAGTTGCGGAAACTGATGCAAGACCATGCAGTGACAAAACGTGAATAGACATACAGATACTTCAAAAAGAAACACACCAAAGATAGTGCTTTCATAAGCTAAACAAGAAACCCGGAAACGAGTTGATAAAATAACTATATCTCACATAACTTACCATCAAAATAATTAGCATGTATCGAGTGGAAAACGCGACCTGCAGTTTCCGGATCTGCACACTTTACATACACCAATCCCTGAGATGAAAAAATCGAGAAAGCCGAAAATTCACAACAGATATCTATTTATGACTAAAAAATATCGTTTGAACAAATTAAAGATATATTCAGGTTGGTTTCATGCCTTCAGATAAAACTGATGCTACGTTTAGAAGTGTAACACAGCTAGCTAAATATTTATAGGTTAAACATAGAATGAATTATTTCTCAACTGAAACACATGTTTAGGCTATCAGATATCATATTATTATCGACAGTAAGTTCACAGTTTGGCTCCTTTCTTAACATCAATCGGGTAACGCAAAATATTATTTCACTACGATTCATGTAATGATGTTTAGTAATGTATATTTACAGAGGTCCATTAACATGAACCACATTTTGTAACAGGCTTCACTGTGAGACTACGGTTTGTTTGGATGAATGATTGACAAAACCGGTCGAACCAATTTAAATATCTACTAGTTAAATGCACGATGAATCATAAAAGGATATAAATTACAAATCATTCATTAATTCAAAATTTAGGTGGGATTGATCTCCCATATATCTGCACATTCATCCATTGAGATGAAATGCTCCACTTGAGACAACTGTGCAACAACAACTGATTCCTTAGGTGGTTATTACAGCTATTTCACAAATAGCTTTTAGTTCGTCATATAATGGTAGTGGTCAATATTCTACATATTAACTGGATCTATTTGTATTCAGTAAATATTACTGTCCCACAGACGAGATCTGAAAATAAAATCGGATAACTGGGACGGAACTTTGTATTTTCTTAACCAACCCCATTTAATTTCACATCCACAGATAGACTGTAGCGCTAACCTTCATATATCAATGAAACTAAAAATATGAGTTTTTACGGGTCTTGTAGAACTAATAAGTAAAACTAACACGCTATCTTTCGAAAAAATTATCACAGAATACTCGTAGCAAATCTTAGAAAATTCGATTTTAGAACGCTGGTTCCTCACATACGTTAAATTACTCAAGTATCAATTGAAGTGTAACTTTGTCTCTAGACAAAAAAGAAAAAACTTCCCGTAGAAATTTCCGCGTCTATTTTACCGGTAGGAACGCCAATAACAATGCTGCCTTGTTCACTAGTAGTAAACTATTCAACAACACTAGTCAATAACAAAAAAGTTATAAGTGTACTAGAATACCGCCTTATCCCAGTTAAAAATAGCCAATGTTATGTTATCAAAATAAGTTTTGAAAACTTCAAAAACGATTATATCGTTCAATTCTAAATGATTATTTGTTCTTTCCGAAACTAGAATCTAGATCCAATAGAACTGTAATCTCAAGTCAGTAGATCCTAGCAGAAAATTCCAGGCGTTATTTTCTGAGCTAAATGGTTTATTAGTGAAGCCTTTTCTGTCATTAGACACATCACTACTAATCAAAGTTCATCTATGCGTAGGCAGAGAGGGAGTTCACTATGTTCAATAGTAACACTTTTCACAACTGGTGCAATTTATTTTGTAGATGATGTTGCATTTATCGCTTTTTGTCGCTAAGTCTTAATAAAATAGAATTAAGTGATTATATCAATTTATGAGGGAAAACTGAGGTTTTCTGGATTGTTTCCTGTGAAATAATTAAAACGCCAACTTCTATATAAAGTAGGTGCTAATTATGTGGTTTAGAACGACAGTGAAAGCTCATGAATTCAAATTTTAAATTACTGCAATCTCCATAAAACCCATTTCTGAAAAACTTAACTAAACCATATGCCTTTGAGAGCAAAACATTCACTAAAGCTGAAAATTAGCATGATTATTTTAAAGAACGACTAGAGGATGAATGAAAACATTTCGTAAACACACATGGAAAGAAATTAGGGGACTTTTAAGATGGATAATTGCTTGGAAATCAGATGCTGTTAGGTATTTAGCTTTTTGGTTCAATTTCCAATTATTCCAACCAAAAAAACATGTTCAAATCTATGCACCAGTGGCCAAACAACATTTATTTTAAAAACTAATACAACAATCCGGATATTCAAATTTATGTAATTGGAGTTAGCTGAAAACTAGGATTTAAAAATAAGTAATATGAAGAACCCTTGTTTGACGGCATTGCTCCAACAATTTTAGCAAATCACTTACATTTATTCCAACACTATCTAAACCTATGTGTAAAATGGACCCACAAGGCATTAATTTTTTTAAGAGTTCGCGTTTGATTCTTTTACGTCCACGTTCATCGATACTTCTATAATATAGTGAAAGAAAACGAGACATATAATTAGTACAAAGTTATGGCCTCAAAACCACATGAACCTTAAACAATTTTTACTTTATAATAAGCACTAACACATATGTGACTGTATCTAAAGAAAACATTATTAACATGAGGACACTTACTCAGTAGAAAACATATTCCTTATTTTCAGGCACTCCGTTGGGGGAACAATAAAACTTGGCTTCTGTGACGTGTCCATAAGTGCTGTAACATGAAAGAGAGGTATTAGATAAACCATTGTAACTATATAACGGGGTGACTTTTGTAAAAATTGCACACTTCACAACTAAACACCAAACATACGTTTACAGAGAAGGAAGATAGTCAATTAATTTAAGTTTGGTCGATTCAAATGCTTTTACCTGATAGAGATTTCTGCACTTAGCTTTGAGGTACACTAATTATGATAGAAAGTAACACGACCCGGTTTGTCAAACCGAAGTATATGAAGCGACGTCCGAAAATGCGCCCTCGTGGTTGACAGTCAAACCCTTAAACCACTGAGCTAGTGCCTCTAGTCGTTAGTCAGTCATATTCAACGTAGAACCTGAAATATTCGTGCGCCGGTTCAAGCTATTAAATCATATTAAAATAGCAAGATGAAATTATTATGAAATATGTTACAGTAGAAGCAGTAACAGTACTACTGGTAGTAAGTGACACGAGGCTTAAACAATACTATTCTAGAAAAAATTAAGTCCGCGAAATAAAAAAGTGTGTGATAATTTTAAAGCTCAAGATCTAAGGAAAGACAAAGATTAAAAGGAATGCATCTCCAGTACTGTGACTGATGATGAATCATATCACTCAACATCTTCAACTATCGATTGGGTTTTTATGCGAATCGTAACCAGATAGTCTGGACCTAACATAACTCGGACCAGCAGTCAATGATTTCAAGGGCTGATGCCGTATCTTGGTTCGGTCGCCTGGTGGAGATGTGGAACCCTCAAATACATCTTATGAGGAGGGAAATCAATATTCATGTAGGGTGAATGTAGATCAACTTTTAACAGTTTATATTATATATACAAACTTCTAAAGCCTTTTAACGATGATTTATGTTTGGTGTTTATTTACTCATTTATTTGAACATAAATGTTGGTATAAAGAGGAACCGAATAAATATGCGCCACACAAATCACTTGATTTGTGTGTGGGCTGTGATACTACCCAAGTGCCCAGACCGAAGCAGGTGATTTTCTTCGGAGACCACACACGGAGCCTTCGACCTAAAGGTCTGATCCACAAGGTAGTGGAGCAACGTCAAGAGATGTAGTCCCATGGTAGCCGGTGACCAATAATTGGTCCATACGTCATTTGTTCAGTCAGGATCCTGGAGCCCATGTACACCATTGGTTGGGAATCAGGGTTTTCCAACTTCTCTAGATGGATTCTCCATACCCACTAATTCGGTTAAAACACCGGACATTGGATTTTCGTCCTCTGAATTTCGTAAACAACACCCCCGTCGCGAGGAGGCAATGAGCAAAACTTTCCTGGCAATGGTTGTATCTACGTGGTCATGTGAAAGCATTTTGAGAGGGAAAGCTGACTCTCCCCACTCTCGGCTGTAACAGGGCATTTGGTGACAATTACTTAGCTCGTTATTGCTAATCACTCTTATATATATATATATATATATATATATATATATATATATATATATATATATATATATATATATATATATATATATATATATATATATAGATGGTAAAGTTGCTGGTGATAATTTGGTTAAAACCGAGTATCATATGAGGTGTCCATTAGGTTATATACAAAAACAAAGATAAACAATATTAATAAATAGGTCGACCATATTTCAGGAACAACTAGGAAAACTGTTAGGAAGCCATGTATGTGATGCCCACCCCGATGCAGCATGGAATGATATCTTAAAAGCTGTGGAAACAGCAGTGATATCTGCAAGTACGGTAAACCACAAGGTTAGGGAGAAACACTGAATCTCAACAGCATCTACCGCACTGATAGATGCTCGGAAACTCATTCCATCTGGCTCTGAACATAACGAAGAGCGGAGTCAGCTTAAGCGCAAACTGACAAGAAGCCTACGCAATGATCGCGAACAGTGGTGGGTAGCGAAAGCAAGAGAGATGGAAAAGGCAGCGGCAATAGGTAATAGCAGACAACTGTTCAGACGTGTTAGGGAAACCGGTATTAAGAACCCAACTGTTAGCGAAACTATCTCGGTAAAAGATGGACACATTATTCATTCTCAATCCAGGAGATTGGATCGATGGGCAGAACACTTTAGTGATCAGTTCAACTGGCCTTCAGCCACACTTCGGTTTTCCACGATCTCCAGTCCACCTGAATGGCAAGTTAGTGTAGGTCCTCCAACTCTTTACGAAGTTGAAAAAGCCATAGGAAATCTGAAACGAGGGAGAGCAGCAGGCCCTGACAGGTTCATTCCTGAGATTTTTAAGGATGGCGGTCCAGTATTAGCACTGAGATTAACCGAGGTCTGAGGTAGAATTTGGGAACTGGACGTAATCCCATCTGACTGGTCTCAATCACTGATTGTGCCAGTCTATAAGAAAGGACGAAAGTGCTCTTGTGACAATCACAGATGAGTCACTTCGACTAATATAGTGTCTAACATATTAGCTTCAATAATACTTCGACGTCATTGAAAGGAGTACCAAAGAAGTACATTAACCTTGTAAAGGCTCTCTACTCGAGCACAACTGATCGAGTGAAAGCTTATGGCGAACTGTCATCAGAATTGATTACCTCAAGTGGTGTTCGTCATGGCTGTCCACTCTCCCCATTCTTGTTTAACTCTGTCGTTGACATGCTTTTAGAGATGACACTCTCCTCATCTAAATTTCCAGGGGTTGAACGTCTACGAGGAGATTCACTTTTTGACCTAGAATATGCTGATGACATAGTTCTATTTGATGAAGACGCTGACAAAATGCAGAGTCTTCTGACCACTCTAAGCAACAATGCAAGCATGTTCGAGATACGATTCTCTCCCTCGAAATGCAAAATGTTGCTTCAGGATTGGGTTACATCGACACCCGAACTAGTGATAGAGAGTGAAGTAGTTGAGTGTGTCGACCGCTTCACTTACCTTGGAAGTCTCATCAGCCCTTGTGGTCTGGTATGTGACGAAATCTCAGCACGGATACAGAAGGCTCGACTAGCTTTTGCTAACTTGCGTCATTTATGGCGTAGGCGAGATATCCGTCTATCAATCAAAGGACGTGTTCACTGCGCAGCAGTTCGTCCCGTCCTACTTTATGGCAGTGAAACATGGCAGGTAAGAGTGGAGGATATTCGTAGGTTACTAGTATTCGATCATAGGTGTCTTCGAAACATTGCCCGTATATCATGGGACCATCGAGTAAGTAACACAGTTGTTAGGAAACGGGTACTAGGTAAGGATGGCAAATCAATTGATGAAGTAGTGAAACTTCATCAGTTGAGATGGCTGGGTTACGTGTTACGTATGCCCAACGACCGACTGCCTCGACGTGCGATGTTGAGTGGTATAGGAGTAGGTTGGGAGAAAGTTAGGGGCGGCCAAACCAAAACATGCCACAAATCCATAAAGTCACTGACAAGTGGACTGAGTCATGTTGGTAGGTGTAGACTACCTGGTTGGGGACCACGAGATGATAGCAACCGATGGTTAGAGACCCTGAATGACATGGCTCGAAATCGTTTGCAATGGCGCAGGTGCATCTACTCATTGTGTTCTCCCAAATTCTAATCTTCTGAATTCTTCATGTCCCTTTTTTCCTCTTTCCAAATTTATTTCACTGGATTATACTCTTTAAATAACATCTCCAAACCCTAATCTTCTCGATTACTGCTCATACTCTTGCTACCTCTACCACTACGGGATTTGAATCGACAACTGCATCTCTATGCTGATGTGGTATGACAACCCAAGCCAATGTATATACGTACGATGTTCTACATTGTTACTGACTGACTGACGACTATAAGGAAATACGCCTTAACTTATTAAGACAGAAAGTTCATGAAAACTTTTTCGGCCACCGTTTTCTTCAACAAAATAAACAGACCAAAAATACCGTTATTTGGAATAAAATTACATTAGGATGTGCTATATAAATTGTATACCATTAGAGATATATGTATACAAAGGAAGGAACGATTTGTTGTCCAGAAGACAGTATTATGTTATTACATCTATAAGATTATACGACTTATTTACTTACAAACGATTAAATACTAGAAAGTTCATTTGAAAAGCTAAGCATTTACAACAGTCAATTTATTTCACACAGATGATACATTATAAATAGATGTTTAGTATGCATGTGTGTGAAACGTTAGTCACAAATGACAGGGACAAAATTGGAAATATTGTTTTGTCTTACATACTAACGAATCTTACGATCAATAATATGATAGTCACTGTAAATAGACAAAAGTAAACCGAAATAACGCCAGTAGTGAAGACAATATGTGGATAGCATACCGAAATATGAAAAGTTGAAATTGAAAAAAAATAATAATAATGACCTTAAAAACCTAACACCAAGAATTATACACGGTAAACAATGGTTTCAAGAGGATAACCTTTTTTGATAATACTGTACACTTATTTTGTGGTTATATACAATCAATAATCACTTACCAGAACCTTGCCAACCTGTGCCGCTTTGCCACTGCCATGTTTCACCTACACCTCTCCATTCTTGTACACCGATACAAGTTTCTACTTCATAAACATAACGCGTAACTTCAGGCCACAACCGGTCTAAGCTAAAAACAGAAAGAAATTTAAATTTCGCGGAAAGAAATTGTATGTTACCGTATGAATGTAATCAAGAACTTAACCTCGAGTCCGCTGTTATTGTACACCATGCTTAACATGTACATTGTTTCCTACAATCTCCCTTATTCTCTAATACTGTTGTTTCTAAAATTGCAAGTCTTATCGACAAATTGCTTATTCATTAGTGATTTTTCAATATTAAGACATATCTGTATATAAACGTATTCATCATCTGATTGTATATTAAAGTGATTTCTACATTCAAGCTGAATTAAACAAAAGTAATTTTACTTTGATTCCAATTTCATTATTATTTACATAACTAAAATAAACCATCCTGGATAGATAGCTGTATACAAGAAAGTGCAATAGAAAAGTTTAGTGTATTTAACGGCTTAGATTAAAAAAGTAGGCAATCAAAACAAGTTGAAAATGTTTTTCATCATTTTCATTTTGAAAACCCCTGATTCTTGAAGTGTCAAAGTCGTCGTTTACAACATGAACAATGAAATGATAGGTTTACTCACTAAATGTAATAAAGGATTGAAGAACACAACGCGAATAGACTAAACAAACTTAATGAAATATCCCACACATACCGAAATAATTTCTTAAGAACAGTTATGACACGGTAAACTACTCAGCTTATGGATGTTAAATAAGCGATCAGTGACTTACAAGTTGATAAAAGGTATAAAATTATTAGTTGGCGTTGAATATTTACCTTGCTCAGTGATATAATTCACAACTATCTTACAAACATTATATATATATATATATATATATATATATATATATATATATATATATACTGTACTAAAAAGCGTACAAACACATTGTCAAAAAATATCACTTACATAGTGTACATATCCACCTTTTAAAATATTGGCTAATTTAGATGATTTTTACTTTGTAGTTTATTCCAAATATGAAGTAAAACTAGTTCGAATTTCAATAAAGAACAGGTTCGTGTGTTTGGCAATTGAGATACGATTGCGGTATATGAGGTCTGTTGACACAATACAACTGACTAAATCGAGTTAATGAGGATTAGCATTTCAACTTGAAACTTAATGGTTGAGAGCTTAGGGTTATAACGAAATGTTCATTCATATGTAACCATGGAGTAGGGACCTAGTCTCATATGTTTCAGTTAAATTTTAAAATATCTTGAACTCTTTGATTTCAATACGTGATAAGTTAGAATTTAATGAAACAACAACGGAACCACAGATCTATTCATGGAAATATTACTGGCTTTTCATCAAAAATTTATTGATTAAAGAAACGTTGAGCAAACGAAAAAACAACTACTACTTACTCGTGATGTTTTTGACGCAAGCGGTCACGTATCATATAGACAGGAACATAAGGAGGCTGATTAGCACTGGCTTCATTTTCTCGTAACTGATCTTGTAGCAAGTCTATTCACAAGCACAAAACCAAAAGGATCATAACCGAGATAAATAAAAAAATAATTCAATAGAAGAAATTGCGGTTCATTATACCACAGATGTTCGTATCACTGAAAAATAATTTAACACAAGCAACCTAATGTTGGGGCAGTTATGAAAGAGAACAGAACCAACTACTGACAAAACCAACATAATTTAAGCTGTAAATACGCACTATTGTTTAGCAAAATAAATCAGAAAATATTAATTTTTGTGAAACCACGATCAATAAAGCATATGAATGAGGCATTTCATTAAGAATTTTGTCAACTGTACACAATCAGTTAAATTAATTATAAAGTAATAAGCTAAAAAATCATTTGAATGAAAATTCTGCTCCAGTTATAGATCAAGAAGATATTTTCAGCCACGGTCAAGTGGGAACCAAACTCGTTATGTTGATAAACATCAAAATCATTTCTGAGCAACCATAATATGTAAACAAGATACCTGTGAATAAATTATTTCTATCATAAATATCTTTTCCATGACATACTGGGATAAGACGCTTAACTGTCAAAGCGATTGCGGTACATATTCTAGAGGATACTTACTTAAAAGCCATGTCTTAGATAAATACAAACAGGAACCAAAAGCTTTTTATCCTTTTTCTGAGTTTTGGTTTCTCATTTTCATGAACTACACATAAATTCATGGTTATTCGTAGTAAAGTGTACAACTAATAACGTATAATACCCGATTACTTACACGATTAACACTTAACAAATCTAAATTTCAATAAGTCAAAAAATTACCTGACAATTTTTATAGTGACACCGTACTTACATACAACTTCTGCCACCAGTTCTCTTACTCGACAGTTTTGACGTTCTAATGCGCGTAATTTTCTAGAGCGAAGTAGATAAACTCCATAACAAACCCCCAAAATAATCACACAAACTAATACGATCCAGAAAAAAGTTACGCATACACCAGCAAACCATTGAAAACACCGTCGGAGTCGACAAACGCCAGGAAAATATGGTTTAAGACTTTCAAGTTCAGTGATTTGGATTACTCGACTAAATAAATAAATAAAACCACATATCAATTATTAATTTGAACGTGTCGTCTGGTTAACGAACATCATATCTTTAAATTTTGAATTGTTATGAATAAATAGATAATCGCTTATTAGGATCGAAAGAATCTTCACTTATTATGAGGTGATATGTTGCATACTATAAAGTTTGTAAACCCTATGATAGAGGATTTACATTCACTTATATGATTTAGTCCCACAAATGAAGAAAAAGCGACGACAAACATTGTTTTTAAACCTACATTTGATACCACTGAACGAGGAGAAAATTCATGTAGATAGTTACAAAGAATATGGAGCGACCAAAAGATGGCAGTAAAAACTTTCAAAGTAGTAGAAATATAGCTGTGTAGTTAAGACATTTACCCTCTATCCAGTAGATTGCAGGTTAGGAACTCGATTTGGGTAACCGGATAGTCTTGCATGGATTATATTACTTTTATTTTATATTACTAGTGTGTGTTACTTATATTGATATAAGTAGTATATTATGCGAGTCAGGAACGTAATATCTGGCAGCAGAAGATGAGGTGAAGATCAAGAAAGGAAGAGCGAGAGCACAATGGAATTTGTAAGAAAACGCATGTACAATGGAATGGGAGACAATGGATTAGTGTTCGCAACGGAAACAGTCCAGTTTGATATGATGCATTGATATTTTGCAAATTGACGATTGACTTTATGGTATTCAGATTATATTGAGGTAGTCTGTAATTTTTGTGCTAAATACATTTGATTGTCCCCACCCGTGTTCTTGTTCACAACACTAGTGCTAAAATAAACTTGGAATTCGTAAGTTATTTCAAGTTATTCTACTGCGGCACGTTAACCATATTATGAAGGCCTAATTACTGCTTTGATACATAGCAAATTGTCTGATTCTACATGACTGCAATATAGCACTGCTAACTATTACTACTTACTGATAGCATAATTGTTTGTAAAAGCAGAGAAATACAACTATCAAATACAGTGTGAGTGTCATAACAGCAAACATTTTAGATACTTGACTAGCTTACTTGAGTGGTCCTAGTTCAGATTTGCTAACGTCAACAGCAACAAGACTAAAATGTGTCTTCCCAACATGAAGTAACACATAAAGTGTATTATCCCACACCCGACGAAAATCAGTTTTCGGAAATGTTGGCCAGCCTTTCATTTGTAAGCTGTGCTCAACTAAACGTTCAGCAGAAGGTACATCTAGACGAGGACTAGTTAAAACTCCAACTTTACAGTAAAACTCTCCTAAAATAAAAAATTTGCAACTCAGTGAGATATATGAAAACGAAATAAACAAACGGATAATCCTTGAAATACCCATTAAACACAATAACTAAATTTTTAATTCGAATAAAATCTAGTGCAACTTAGTAACTAATTGCAGATTCGTGTATTCAGCCTTGATCTACACTTCTGAATTTTGGGTTAGCGAAATCACTCGACAGCTTAAATTGAGGTGAGTGAAAATGGCTTCAAACGAGCAACCAAGTATGCGACAGTTGAGTGCTCTAATCCTACCTGATAAGCGAACATTTCTAAAACGCGATGCTAACACATAGAAAATGTCAGATTTCGATACATCGTTGGTAGCTTAACTAAAAGCAAATTGTTAATGCCGTATGATTTCTAGTCATTCCTTACATTGCACCAGCTCATAAAAGGTAATTCCACAAATAATCAAAAAGGCTTACCAGCGTAACGACTGAGAATATCATATAAAATCCCAAGAACCCATAAGGATGCAGTTAGATCATCTTCATGTAGGCAGCGCTGGATAAAGATGGGAATTACAACTAATCGAACAAACTTACATGTAAGCCTTTTGTAAGACTATTATTGTAGTCGCCTGGAGATCGACAAAGCAACTTCTGTACATCTAAATAAATATGAAACGAAATCAGACTAGAGTCATAATAATGCCTCTGGAAATTACTGTTTACTCTCAAATAGTAGATATATAAGTATGCAACAACAATCATAAAATAATGACAAAAAAAACAGAAAACACATCTTACCGTGAATAAATAATAGCATGTGACACAATACGCCAAAATGGATTCGATTAAATGACGAATTATAATTGTAATACCAAAGAGGATTAGCTGACATAGCATTCGATGCAGAACAGTAACATCGTACATGAACAAAATTCTCAGTAGGAGTGGTTGGACAATAAATAGCAAATGGTTGAAGCTGCTAAATGCTATGTATTGTGAGTTAAGAAGATTCATCAGCTAGAAAGATGATATTTACCAGTTAATTACAATTTGTATGGCCTTAGACAGATAAACAGTCAGTGACAACGTGGAACCTGTACACCGGTCCAGGCTGTCATACCAAATAGCAGAGATGAAATTATCAGCTCAAATCCCAGAATAGTAGATGAAGTAACAGTATCAGGGGTGACTGAGAAGATTAGGTATGAAAGAAACGAGTCAAGAAAATGTAAATTAGTGAAATGAAAACATAGGAAAAGTTATGGGGAATTCAAGAGCTCAGAACTCGTGCGAAGACAAAAAATGAATGCACCTGTTCCAATCCAAACGTTTATTTTATTTTATTTATTTGAACACATAAATATTGGTACAAGAGAGCGCCAATATATATGCGCCACACAAAACAATGGGAATTCGAAGAGAAGTAGAAAGAAAAAAAACTAAGGAACGCAAAAGAAAAAGAGAACAATGACGAAGAAATTGGAGTAAGGTAGTGTGGTAGTAACGACAGAACGAAAAGGTACAATCAGAAGAAATCTTTCAGGTAAAGGAGACACAACCCCTTTTTTATGAAGAAAGTAAAAGAAGGTTACAGCAGGATCGCCACTGGCTTCTATTCTGAGCCATATCTGATAACGTCTCTAGCCACTGTGTAGCACCATCTCTCGGACCCCAGCCAGCGAGTCGTGAAGGACCAACACAAGCCAGTCCTTTGCAGCTTTCTTTCATGCCACGACACCATGTCATGCACTGACCACCTCTCCGCTTCTTCCAACCAGTCCCAGAGTCGGCAAATAATGCACGACGTGGAATTCTCTGGGACGACATTCGGAGAACATGTCCAAGCCACCGAAGTCGGTGTTTCAAGATGGTGATACCAATTGAGTTATCATCTGTGCCCGAACACACGATGCCGAACCTCTGCATTACTGACATGGTGTTGCCACTGAATGTCAGCAATCCTTCGGAGACAGCGATGATCGAACACAGAGAGTCGTCTAACGTCCTCAACTCGGAGAGGCCAGGTTTCACAAGCATAGTAATAATAATATTATTAATACTAGTATTATTATTACTACCAATCCAAACGACTTGGAGTCATAACATGAACAACAACTGCATACATATGGTACATAGATAACAGTGAGGAGTTATGTTAACAATCAGGAAAAGGTGTTAATCAATATCAATGCGATGTACATGAGTGAAGATTTCGAAATGCAATATCATTTATTTCTAAAATAGCAAGTGGATAATTGAAATCGAGTTATTAGCTATTACATACCAATTTACGGTCTTATACTTTCATTTTATACAATTTTACATCGGACAATGCAATCAAGGGTCATTGAACATGTGCCTGGATGGTTTTAAAACCAATTAGTGTCGAATGAACCGGTTAACGTGGGAGGTAGAAAGCCATGTTTATCGATGGCGAAACATATAATTGAAATGGGGCACAAATTTGACATTAATACAACTTTTAAAACGTTGCATAGAAATTGTCAAGGACGAATTCTCAAGTTTACTGAAGCCTTGGCTATTTGTAAATTTAAGCTCCCCTTACGTGTACAAAGACAATTTGTCGTAACCATGAAATTACCCTGGTAATTAATAAATCATTCTATTGCCTAGGATGACGCGATAATTTCTCATTCTTTCTATACGATGTAAGATTGTTTCTCTCCCCTTTGTTACTTTTTACTTGAACTTTTATTTAGTTGACCCTTATTGATTTCCATATTAAGTGCCCTGACAAGTATGTGTGACCAGATTGTTCGAAATGTATGGCGCAAATACATCACATTTTTCAGATCAACTCCGTCTTCTCATTGTTCTATCGAAATTTATATATATATATATATATATATATATATATATATATATATATATATATATATATATATATATATATATATAGGGATATTCAGAAAAATATGCCAAACAATATCCTGTTAAGTCTAATGCTATCCTTGAACGTGAAATGGTGTCATTTTCCTGTTGGTCAATATTCACGGTAGTCCTAACTGTATAAATATGCATTCGCCTGTAAAGTATTATTCCTATTCCTATTCTTCTCCTGACCCCATAAACAATTTCATCTACGGTTCGTGTTCTGATATGTTGGAGATTGGGAAAGAGTTTCGGGGTCGTACTGAAATATCTGAAGTTGGTCAGTCGGTAGAAATTAGAGTAGCCACCCCGCGGTCCACAACAATATATATATATATATATATATATATATATATTATACATGAAGTAATTCATAAACCAAATATGGGTTTCCAACTAAGACATCCAATTACATTTCCAGTGATTTTTACATCAACGACCTAAACAACGAGTCGAAGTAGGTTGAGAAAACGCAATCACAAAACACTTTAGTGACGAAACTAAAACGCGGAAAACCAACTCTATGATTATCGAATTAGAAATCACTGATATAACATTTGAGGTGTCACATCCTTATGGCTTACCTGCCATTTTACCAACTTCTCCATGGTGATCCTTCAAGAATAAATAACTTGCAACTAACATAAAACACACGATTATGCTTGAAATAAGAATCAAATTAGGGATATTTGAGACACTGCAAGGGAAATGCTTCCCAAATAAGAAATAATTTGAAAAGCTGTTCTTTTGATCACGCTGCTTTCGGCTACGAACAAGATCATTTAAATCAGTATCTTCAGATAAAATAGAAACACCGTGATATGTCGGTTTATCAAGATTCCTAGATGGTGGAGTGAAGAGAAGACCAGGAGACGTTGTGATTCCAGTATCTCGCGATTTCATGTTCCTAAAGTCAGTGGAAGAAAATATTTGGAATTTTATTAATGACATGAATTTTAATGACGAACCGTAAAACCACTTAATACAAATACAAACCAACTAATTTAACCTACTGAGGCAGAAGTCAAACACTATGACATCCCACTGTCTTGATTAACGTTAGGACTTTTGTACTACCCATAGTGGGCATGGTAATTGTACTATCACCTGGATCTAAAATATTGGTTTCCATTATCACTCACAGACCGCGCAAAACGCGGTTCCTTTGTTTCAGGTCAAAGTTCGATTGGCCAGGTTAGTCTACAACACTACCATGAGTTGAGGGATAGTTGTGTAACATAAGGACCCATTGTTTTGTTGTAATTTTAGGGACGAACCCCCAGAGATCACAACGAGAATATCTTGGAAGTATCTACACATGTTCAAGATTGGAAAACAGTGGTAACCCTGTTGTAATTTTTTATTGCATTCTTGTCTGTCGCAGCTTTTCACTGTGATTATTATTGCTTAACTTCATACATATGTCAATAAGTGGTAATTTACTTTAAGTGATATTATCATGTTTCACGATTGGATTATGCATAGAGTTAAACACGCAGCTCTAAATACAACTAAGCATATTTGAATTTTTAAAACACTGTGATAGGTAATTCAGAAGCTGTCCAGACGGCTGCAAAATGACAGAACTTTAACTGGTTACGTGAAATATTACCTGCTTAAATATGCACAATTGAAAACTGCTTGAAATAAAAGACTAAATGAAACAAAGAGCAAACCTGAATGGAGAGGAATATAGTCTCTTGAAGAAAGGGCTCTGAGTGGACTTTTCTATATCAGAACTATCTGTATCTGATATTTGTAAACGATCATTGCTGTGTGAGGAACGACGAACACTAAGTTTGGATTTTTCATAAACAGACTCATCCCTTGAAGACCTAGGTTTCGTAAATTCATGGGCACTCCGATTGAGCCAACCAGTAACTCTGGACAAGGTGGATGACATCGAACTTGGTTTTGATAATTCCTCATCTGTATCATCGTCTACAGAATCATCCTTAATATAAATATACGTTTTCCTGGTGGGTGTATAATCAACTGCGCTCTGATTGAGGTCACGTGAAAATCTTTGTGCAGGATACTGCTTATGTGAAGAAACTGAATTGATCATATCAGAATCGTTACGAAACTTATTCACGGGTTCCGCTTGAGATGTTCCTATTGGAATTAAGCTCGGAAGTATGTCAGTGTAAGGTTCAGATAAATCCACATTATGTCCGGTAAGAGGTGGCTTGGATTTTGAATATTGTTTACTGGGAAAGTGTTTATTCTCTGTTCCTAGATCGAAAATTAAAAAGCAGAAGAGTAATTCCATGATCTGCATCCCTGAAATAATTAATATTATATGAGCATATGACCATGCACAAGCCTGCTAATTCGATTTTCCAAATACTCAAGTATTAATAAGCCTCGAAGAAATAATCACGAACTTTATCTTTTTTGAATGAGTATCAATGTATTTAGGATTGTCTACTTCACCAATAAAAATAAATACTTGTAAGCTCAGAGTTTGTTTACTTACTTAACAATCATACAAATAGATACTGTGACAATAACCACGCACAATTAGGAGTTAATTGTTATGGAAAACCCAACGACGTGAAGCTTACTACGTAAGGCTGCATACCTACAAAGTGCTAATACCTCTAATTTGACGTATGGTTTGAACTTATAACATGCACAATAAGACAAGTGTGCAACAACAACTTAATTGTTGTTTAAAGCTAACTTTGCGTCACAACTATGCAAACTTGCTGAACGAAATATGAGAGAATAAGGAAATGGTACAGATTACTGTGAAGAGTATTTCAGCTTCATAGTAAAGGATAATAAATTGGTCCTAAGATACATAAAAGTTCAACTGAGAGACAGAAGACTATGATGTAGTTATACCAATGTTGCTTCTTATCCATGTTAGATATCGCACGGAGCGGCGAAGTTATGATTTCTAAAGCACTTTTGAGTGCTTAAATAAACCATAAAATGAAAAACCATTTATTGCATTACAATGTGCAAGACTGTCAGTTAACCTAATTTGGTCTCATTTTCAGAAATGTCACATGTGAATATTCTCCGCACCTACAAATTTCGTATTTGCTACAGATAGATGTTATATAAATGAATCCCCTAAGGACATAAATATTTGGCTTCTTATCATACAGATGACAAGAATGACAACTAAACACCTGAAAAAACCTTTGAATATGATAAAAATGCAGCTGTTTACAAGGAAAGATCCCCAAGTTATAGTCGTTTCAATTACTCAATCCAAGTAGAACAAAGTTCATTGAGAAACCATTCGTAAGTATTTGAAATCATGGTGTCTATACATCTACAATGCTTATAAGCTAGTACTAAACTTCGACAATGACATAAGCATCTTCAGAGATTTCATGAAAAGCAAAAGATATCGACTGTGTGTTACAAAATATTGCATTACGAAGGTATACACAAGTAACTTTAGGATCAAATAACATACCTATGTCATGGTTCGATTCGATAGTTGTATGCTTACGACTGATTACACTGGAACCTTGTGTTCCTGAAGAGCTTGAATTTATAGTCCCAGTTGATTTGCGTGACTTAGATATTTGTTTAGGTGTTTCTGACGCTTCTTGTGTTGAAATACCCACAGTGAATGACTTCTTCTCCTTTTGGAGCTTTTCGAGTTTTTTTATATAAACAGACCTCGTAGTTGCTGTTATCGGACCTGGATCAAAGCCCAAAGCCTTGAGTTCCCTCCGCAGCTCATCGTCTCTTAGGGATGCTGCCATAAAAGTTTCGTACTAATGATGAATATGTTAGAGAAAAAACAGCCTAGACAATATTAAAAATGAGTCAAGCAACCCAAACCTAATAACTGTACGGTCAAGCGAACGAAACAGGCAACAACTTTTAAATGTGATACACCACAAAAGTTTAAGCAACGATGCTTCGCTATTAACTATGTTCAATATGTAAGTTTTCAAAATTTGAAATATGAACTTCGCTAAATAGAAGTAGCAAACTGCTTGTTCCTTGAGTTCTGAATATAGGCAGTCGCAGACGCGCGTTATTTAAAAAAAACAGTGGTATTTTGATCGTTTATTACGTATCAATACTACTGTTTTCACTTTAATTGAGTTCATTTTAGTTAAAGTATTCGACTAGAGTATCGTTTATACCATTCTCTAAATTAATTTTGTCATTAGTACTCTTGAGTACCTCATTTTTAATTGTATCTGTTAGTGCTTTTGGTCCTAACAGTTTACAGTTCTTCACTTTTTGGTCATTGATTATATTTTTGTTTCTGAGCATCATCGCATCTCGTTCCTCTTTGAAAAAGACTCCTTTTAAATGACCGGACAGTGTAAAAAAAGCAGTTGCCAACGTCCGGTTTGTCCTTATCCCGTTTGAAGCGGTATGCACTGCAACGAGTGCAAAAGCTGGTACATGAAGTTTGCACAAACATAACGCCTGCAACTTTCAAACGGTTCAGTAAGAAGGGTGGCGTATGACTTTGTCAACAGTGCTGTTCGGTTACAAACAGCCTGTTAACCGAGGCCATCTCACTGGTTGATGCTGCAAAGAAGTGTTTTAGCAAGCGTAGTTGGAACACGTCAAACAGCACTCGATCTGTCGACACACAAATCGACATGAAGCAAACTAAGGTTAGTTCGATAGTAGATGACTCACGCCGGTCAAAGAATGAAAAGCAGTCTCCAAAGGGGCCTGCCTTAAGCGAAAGCTCAAGGAAAGTAGGTTCTTCTGTTCCCCGTCTCCCAGATGGGATCCCACAGGAAACGCCTGGAAGCCGCAATCGCAAGGCTCGATCGGTTTCAAGCGGTAAACATAACCTGACCTCTCAGGTCGTCGACAACCCCCCAAAATCCAACACTAGGTTTGACGCAACTGTTATTGCTTCTCCCAGCACCGTTGACGAGTGGGTACAGGTTGTAAGGAAGAAAAAATGTAGCGATATAAAAGGTAATCCTACCCCCGCGACAGTAGTCGAAAAATCGAAAGCTGATCATAGCGATAGATCAAATATTTTTCATAGAATCAAGGATAGTGAGAGCTCTGAACCTTGAGCTTGTTTTGAACATGATAATGTGCTGATTAACCAGCTGCATAATCAACTCATGCCTCAGAATATCAGCGGGGTCACCTTGCTAAAAGTGTACAGACTAGGGAGTCTAGCGGACTTGAAACCAAATCATTCCAGACCGCTTAAAGTAGTATTCAACTCCTCGAACGAACGTGACCTAATTTTAAAGATTGGACACAAATTAAAGGGTTCAGGAGTTTTTATCCGAAAAGACTTACCGTTGGCAGACCGTGTTAAAAGACGGGAAGCCGAAAAAGGACTACAACTTGGGTTAGACGCTGGCGAAAAGGACCTGAACATTGTAAATTTTCGGGTTGTAAGGCTTTGACGGAGAATGATGCCGAAGCCACTCTGGGTGAAGCACGAAGCCACTTGAACTGGCTTCGGATCTGTTACACCAATGCCCGGAGCTTACTTAATAAGCTATCGGAACTAGGTGTACAGACTGACTCTACAAAGCCAGATATAATCGCAGTAACAGAAACCTGGCTGACACAGGCTATAGATAGTATAGAACTTGATTTCGAGGGTTTTACGTTAGTAAGGACCGACAGAACACAAAAGCGAAAAGGAGGGGAGTAGCTCTATTCATTAGGAATGCTATCCCATTTGTCATTCTCAACGGTGTATCCCGTGAGAGTGGGACGTGTGAATTAGTTAGTCTCCGCTTGAAATGCAAGGGACAAGAGCTGCTGATTGGTTTGGACCATCGCAGTTCAAGCTGTGAGGTAAATGAAGTCCTGCTAAGCAGTCTCAATACTTGGTCACAAAGCGGTCGATGTCTAAACCTAGGGGACTTCAATGCACCTATAGTAGACTGGGAAAATCTGCGAACTAAATCGTCGGAAAATTCCTTCGAGCTGGAACTAGTTGATGGGGTTATCACATGTGCCGTAGCGCAACATGTGAAATAAGCGGCTAGGTACGATCTGGACACTGAATCATCCCTACTAGATCTTATTTTGACTCTTTATGAGGATGACGTTGCGAACCTCCATTGCATGCCATCCTTAGGTAAAAGTGATCACGCAGTTTTAACTTTCGACTTCCATATAGCTGTCAGCCACGAGCACGTGTCAGTCCAATCCAGACCTAACGTCTGGAAAGCAAACATACCAGATATCATGCACTCAGCATCGTTAGTAGATTGGACAATAGACCCAGAGTCCTCAATGGAAATGGGCTAGGACGCATTTCGAAATTCATAATTAAAAGTTACCACACCCCATATCCCTTGGACTATACCGAGGGAGCCGAGAAACTCCCCAACATGGTTCAGTAGGGAAGTCCGCATCCTTCTCTGTAGGAGAAGAAAAATGTGGGATAGATTTAGGTTAATGGGGAACGATGAGACAAAATCTCAATATCAAAAAGCTCGAAATACCTGTGCCTTGGCCCCCCTGCAAGTCTAGAAATTTGTACGTAGAAAAACTTGTTAAGGAATCCATAGAATGTCCCACACGCTTGTATTCCTATATAAACCAAAGGACAAAGAGTAGAAGAAATATTCTCGCACTGTGGGGAGACAGTACTGCCGCGTCACTAGTGGAGGACGACTTTGGTGAGGTTCAAGCGTTCTCGAGCTGCTTTAGCAATGTATATACCATAGAAGCGCCCTTCCCATCAGCGCATACAGATCCCCCCACACAAACACTGGATAGCGTGACCATTAAATAACTCGATGTCTTTGGTCTACTAAATAAACTTGACATAAATAAATCCACGGTACCCGATGAATTACATCCCAGGCTACTGTAGGATTTATCTAACTTCGTTGCAAACCCTTTAAGTATATGCTTTAACCTATCCGTTACGCAGGGCCGTTTACCAAAAGTTTTGAAAAAAACGCCATAGTAAGCCCTGTCGTCAAAACAGGTACGAAACACAAACCTGAGAATTACCGACCCGTTAGCCTGACTAGTGTGGTTGTTAAAATCTTAGAAAATATTATTCGGAAGGAGCTGTTTAAGTATCTCGATAAAAACCGGATCCTTTCGGAGAAGCAGCACGGTTTCAGAATAGGTTACTCTTGTCTCACTAACTTATTAGTGGCTTGTGAAAGCTGGTGCGCCCTTGAGGACCAAAAGTCACCTGTAGACGTAGCCTACACTGATTTCAACAAAGCTTTTGACAAGGTTCCGCACAACCGGCTGTAACATAAGCTAAGAAATGTCAGAATTGAAGCCAATTTATTGATGTGGATAAAAGATCTCCTAGTTGGGCGTCAACAAAGAGTTCGGGTGAACTCCAAGCTATCCAGCTGGGAAACTGTGCTTAGTGGAGTGCCCCAGGGTACAGTTTTGGGCGTAAATGCTATTCCTCTTGTATGTAAATGACCTTCCTCATCTATCGTCATCGGTCTTGCTATATGCTGACGATGTCAAGATATGGAGAACGACACGATGTGAGGGTGATAGCTTAGAACTTCAAAATGACCTGAAGAAATTATCTGAATGGTCTCAAACCTGGCAGTTGCCGATAAATACTTCCAAGTGTGTTGTGATGCATATCGGTCATCAAGGTACAGATATATACATGATGAATAACACTGAGCTACCTGTCGTCCAGACATATAATGACATAGGAGTCATCGTTAGCCGAGACTTAAAGACTACTACACATTGCCGTGCAATAAGCGCCAAAGATTTTAGAATGTTATGGTCAATACGTAGAGTTTTTATTAATGTCGACACTAAGACGCTTTTGACTTTGTATACAGTGTTCGTACGTCCTAAATTTGAGTACTGCATACAAGCGGCTAGCCCCTGCTTAAAAAAAGACAGTGAGCTTCTGGAAAAGGTTCAGAGAACGGCAACTAAGCTGATTCCCGGAATAACGAAGCTTCCGTATGAATCTCGACTGGCCAAACTGAACATTTTCCCGTTGTCATATATTAGAACTAGAGGCGACTAGATTACAGTCTACAAATCGCTTAGTGATAAATTTGCACCTGATATGCCCTCATTTTTCTTGTCTTCCAAAGCAGAGAATTTACGAGGACACTCCACAATAGTTCACTAGCCCAGAACAAATTACTTGTCAGCTGACTATCGACTTTCCCATCGAATCATCAACGAGTGTAATTCATTACCTCAGCACGTAGTTGAGGCTCCATCCGTCGACTTTTTCAAAAGAAAGTTGGATCAACTGAGAGAACACCATTGCCAGGACTAACATAGGCCATCGAGCCTCCTGTCCTTCCCAAACTGAAATTAAAATGAGGAGATATGTTTTTGACTCATTTTGAGATCTTATAGGCTAAAACAACTGGTTCGTAATAGAGTAGTTAACAGGTGCCAATTCGAGTAATTTCTCCTTAGTTCCTAAAGGGCTAAATGATTAAGTAGAATGAGCAACCGTTATAGCTTCTTTTTTAAAGATTTCGACAAATTTCTGAATCAAACATTGAAAACATTTTTGTCAATACGGATTGAATGCCACATAAAGTGTGGTATTCTATTGAAATATATGAATAGTCTATAAAGGTGTGAAGAATTACGAGCATTATAATAACTCTATTTTAAGTCTCTCTACGGGCTCTGTCAGTCCCAAAACGTAGATAAATGAGGGAGTCGGGAAAATAGCTCAAAAAATCCATCTGAAGTGTCCTGTACTACGTCAAGCCCACGCTGATTATTATAACTTTTTTCGTTCTTTCCTCATAAGTTACATTTCGAATTTGCCAATGATTCGTTTATTAACCTTGACTGTTTTTTATATGAGCGTATGTATTGCTTACCCTTCTCATCACAAGTCGGTTATTTATTTTTGTTCGACTATGCATATTCAGCCTCTTCACTCGCTTTCTCCTCTTCACTTGGTTTTC